CAGGAACTGATCATGGTGTGAATTTGGCAAGCGTGCCTTCCTCCTAGCACGTTTCTCCCTTGCGTCCTGAGTTTGAGTGTATTCAAAGCCCATGACACCTTTGTTCAAGGCTGTTCTCCAACTGGAGCCCTCGCAGGCAAGTGCTTCTCACTTGTTGGTGTTTATACTACATTTTTTTTAGATTTGCCTTGAGACAGTCTTTAAACCTCTTTTGTTGACCACCAGCATTATGCTTTCCATTTTTAAGTTCGGAATAGAGTAGTTGCTTTGGAAGACGATCATCAGGCATCCGCACAACATGACCAGTCCAACGAAGTTGATGTTGAAGAATCATTGCTTCGACACTGGTGATCTATGGGAGTGGTATGAGATCCCTGATATCTCTCTGCCTAGATCCAATTGCTTTTTTGCCTCAGCCAGCTGCTTGGCTAACTCTGGAAAGTGCCACAAAGTGCTTTGTGCCAGTTGATTATCAAACTACAAAAGGAATGGCCAAGGTTTCGATTTTTAAATTATTTTGGTGTTAAGGCAAGGAAAGCGTGTCCTCCCTAAAAGAGGGCACGTGTTGCGGTGAGACCTGGAGACTGACCTCTTGGTTGTGGGTGGGTATATTGCACAGCCACAACACCCGATTGGTAGGTCCCTCGTTGCTAGGTTTAATCTGGCCAATGGGGAGCTGCCTAAACGGGCCAAGGGACCTATATATACCTACACACGTGACCCAGAGCTTCCTCTTTCAGCTCGTTCATTGGAACACCCACCCACCTCTCCCTATATTTAGGGAATTTTGTGATTGACCTTGCTATGCCGTCATGCGTCGTCTGTCGTTGGGACAGGGGCACGGCAGGAATTTTCCCCACTTGACTGATTGGCTGTTGCCATTTGGGTTCCGCCTGCCGCGTAGCAAATCGTCACAACTTGTAAGGTTGCAGATAGGCTCTGTTTCATGTGACAGGGATGGGAGAATGCTCTCGCCATCCCTATGTGAAGGGTATTCCGTTAAAGGAATCCAGGGACTCAACCTGGTTTGGTCAAGCCCCAAGAGGGGGTTGTGCCTGTGCCTGTGCCTGAGTCCAGGGGAGCATCTGGGGAGTAGACATAGACCGTTTCCGGGCTTTCCACCTACCTCAGGTGTTCACCCTTGGCTGACCTATGATAGAGCTCTGGGTCAGCGCTACCTGCAAGCGTGCAGGGAGCTAGTCGAACCAGAGCCTATGCAACTATTCACTTGATGTAATCAATAAAGTTGTGGCCTAAATTCTGCCAAAAACCAAAACTAAAATTTGAATCAAATGTGTGTTTATTTAGGGGGGAGGTCTCTGGGTCTGAACACGCAAATAAAAGAATGGTGTTCAGTACAGTATTTGGATTGTGTCTGCCATGCTCTATCATGGTTGTTTATATATCTACAGTGTGTGTGTGTGTGTGTGTGTGTGTGGCCAGATTGGTGGCTTCTGCCTGTGGTATCTCAGCCATTGGAGCAGAGCTGATAATGCAGAATCTTAGAATGTGACAAAATCATCATCTTAGTACTTGCTACAGGAGTCTGAGAAAAGTAGGGTACCAGAAGCTGCTGATTGCTGGAGCGACAGTGCATTTCCCATAATGCCTGGTTCTGCCCTTAGCATTGTGAAGACATGGGGGGGGGAGTGGGGAAGAGCCCTGGGGAGTCAGAATTCCCAAAGTGTTCTCCTGCCCTTTTTGTGCTCCACAAAAAAACTATAAAAATGATTTACAAGAAAGAGGGAATAAACCTATCCCCAAGGAATCACACAAGCACTCACTCTGGGGAGGACGGGAATCAAAGGATAGGGCTCAGAAATGGGAAGGGGGAGAATATGAAAATGATTGCTGGCACACACACACAAGCGCATAGAACTCTTTGTATGTGTTGCCCCATAGCCACTCTCAGCTTTCTTTTCCTGTTGCGCAACTGTTTTCAGTGGCTGCTACACTGAGCCTCAACAGTGAGAGGACAGTGGAATACCATTAAAAAAGAAGGGGGGGGGGAGAAAATCAATAAAATACATTGGATAGGAGTATTCCCCAGATAAGCAGTTAGGTGGCATTTTTTGAATTAATGCCAGGGGCACTAAAGCACATTTCTTTCTCTACCTTTAATGTGCTTTAACGCCACCTTCCCCCAACCTGTGACTGCAGATGTATTGGACTACAACTTCCATTAGCTCCAGGCAGCACAGTCAACAGCAAGAGATCATAGAATCATAGAATTGTGGAGTTGGAAAGGGACCCTGAAGATTCCCTCTTCCAACCCCCTGCAATGCAGCTGTCCCATACGGGGATCAAACCTAAAACCATGGCATTATCAGCACAATGATGGGAGTTGAAGTCCATTGGCAGTGAAAGAGCACCAGGTTGGGGCTGGCTTCTTAATTCTTCTTCTTCTCCTCCTCCTTCTCCTTCTTCAACGTACCACCCTTCATCCAAGGATCACAGGGCAGTTTACAGTACAGTGGTACCGCTAGCCCAGAAATATTACCTCGGGTTAAGAACTTTGCTTCAGGATGAGAACAGAAATCGTGCAGCCGCGGCGCAGTGGCAGCAGGAGGCCCCATTAGCCAAAGTGGTGCTTCAGGTTAAGAACAGTTTCAGTTAAGAACAGACCTCCAGAATGAATTGATTCTTAACCTGAGGTAAAGGTAAAGGGACCCCTGACCATTAGGTCCAGTCATGACCGACTCTGGGGTTGCGGCGCTCATCTCGCTTTATTGGCTGAGGGAGCCGGCGTACAGCTTCTGGGTCATGTGGCCAGCATGACTAAGCCGCTTCTGGCCGTTTACCTTCCCGCTGGAGTGGTACCTATTTATCTACTTGCACTTTGATGTGCTTTCGAACTGCTAGGTTGGCAGGAACAGGGACCGAGCAACGGGAGCTTACCCCGTCACGGAGATTTGAACCGCCAACCTTCTGATCAACAAGCCCTTGGCTATGTGGTTTAACCCACAGCGCCACCTGCGTCCCTAACCTGAGGTACCACTGTCTACCACTGTATAAAAATATGTATTGGAAGATATAGTTCCCCCTTACACTGACCGAGTTGTAAGGTATGAGAAACATACTGGCATATGTGGTGTGGATGTCATTATGTACACAAGTTCTGGAAGCAGGTTACATTTGAGATTGGCATTATTGCTGGCAAACAGGCCTCCTTGGACCCTAAGCTATGTCTCTTAGCCATTTGGCCTTACTGACCTTAACTTCTCAACAGGGAATTCTATATCCTTTGGTTGCTGCTCATCTAGTGATCTCTTAAGGATGGAAAGATGCGTCTTGTTCTCCTGTGGCTCGATGGTTTAAAGAAGTCGTGTCCATTGCCATTTCCGGAAAAAATAAAATACACACTGCCAGGGATGATGCAGACCCCTCCAACGTTGCTTGTTCTTGGGGGACATTTGTGACTTATATGACCAATCTTTCTCCTGGTTGGCTCAGTCCTTTCAAATATGAGTTTATTTGGCAACGTCCATGAATATTTGGTATGTTTGGTAGAAATATGAACCTTGCATTCCACTGTGGAATATATTTTATGCCACTCATTTTCTTTTAAGTTTTCTATGTTGTTGTTGATGATGATGAAGTTGATGGTTATGTTATCTGGTAATTTTATTCTTCCTGTTTTATTGGCTGTTTTTAAATCAGTAGAGTGAACCTACGGAATTAGCAGCTAGCCGCAGCCAGGCCTTTGAAACGTCCTTCTCTATTAGGGCCGCTGACTTCTAAGGAAAGGGCTTGTTCTGTGATGTTCGTATTTGAACAATCTGTATGTGGTCTTTTATGTGCATAAACACACACACACAAAAACGTAGCATAATAACCAACATCCTCTATAAGGCCTGGAGGTGTTGTTATACTCTCACCCTGGTTGAGGAGAGCAGGGCATGGCACTTCCCAGTAAATTAACCCACATTTTCTAATGTCGCATATTTCTGTTGTTTGTGTTTCTGTGAAAAATTGGCCCCTAAATTGTTGGGGGGGGGGTTGCCCACTCCTGCCTATCACAAGTTCTGTTTTCCTGTACAATTACTGTCCAGCAAAACATTTTAAATGTCATTACTTGAAATGCTTGGGAGAAAAGAGCGTGGCATACACAAGTATGATTTCTCTTTTTCGCCACCCCCCTCTAACCTTACCTTGCAGCCTCTATTATTACTGCATGCAGGTTATCATTAAGGGGCCGGAGTCGTGGGGTTGGGGGAAGAAAACCCCTCTGTCATTAAATACTGATTTGGGTGTTGTGCTCCCTATTTGATGGTGTAACGCACTTCGTAATAACAGGTTATTTTCTCCGAGAGATTGCGAATTAATTTGGTACTTTTCTTGCGTTTATGGGGAAGAGGCTGACGTGTAGCTGAAGCAAGCCCAAGCTAGGTGTCCTTAGCACCTCACAACTGGAGGGGGGGGGAGTGGAAGGTGGCGGCAAGGGAGAGAGAGAGAGAGACAAAAGGTTTTCAGCCTTTCCATTTATCACCAAGGCATTAAAGTCTGTAGAGAAAAGTAAAGGGAGAGAAATTGCTTTTCAAGATAATACACACTTCATAGAGACGCAGTTTCTCAACTCCACGTAATTGTGAGGCTGCCCATCCCCTGCAAATAGCAGGAGCAATTTTTAAAAAGGGGGGGAATAAATAGGAGGTGCAGGGGGGCCAGAGAGAGAAATATCTCATTTTCAAAGAGAATCAATAAGACAGTGTTGTACACAGAGGTGCTTACTGCATTGTTATTAACAATTCCTGCCTTTCTATTCTCCCCCCTCCCTTTCCACCTTTGTGTTAGAATATTTTCTAATGGGAAGCAATGCTCTTTGAGTCCTGCTGAATTTTAATGACGGAGACGTTGGTGGTTTGTTGCATGTGTGTCTTGCCCGGCGTCCGCTCTCAGCAGCCCCTGCCTTCGATAAATTGTTTTCTAATCTTTCTTTCCTAGATGGAAATCCTGTATGAATGTGGAAGCCATTAGCAGAGTAATTGCTGTCTGTTACCATGACAACCAGCCGCTGCAGTCACCTGCCCGAAGTCTTACCAGACTGCACCAGCTCGGCTGCTCCGGTGGTGAAGACGGTGGAGGACTGTAGCAGCCTCGCGAATGGGCAACCGCAGTATGTCATGCAAGTTTCGGCCAAGGACGGGCAGCTGCTGTCATCAGTAGTACGGACGCTTGCCACACAGAGGTACGGTCGTACCGAGCCAAGGAAACATCGGATTGCTTGTTAAGCAGGGGGAAGAAAGTGCCGGGAAGGGGAGGGGGTTTGCGATTGCAAGACCCGAACCTCCCTAAGTGCACTTGGGGGCTTTCATCTCCGAAGTCACAGGTCCGTTTCAGGGGCAGGCAAATGGGAAGCTGCACGTTCAATTCTTCTGTATTGTCATAGCCATGCTTTCCGAATGATGCACACAGCATTGCTCACTTTAAAGAGAGCAAAAGCTCGACTCCTCTTCGAGTTCGTAATGTGTTGCAACTTTGTCGCGATCCCCGGCGATTCAACTCGTTCCGCTTCGCGCAAGGAAGGGGGTGTGGGGACCGTTGGGGGAGGCAGGTGGCAAAGGGATGGAGAGGCCATTAATCCTCCTGATGCGAAAGAGAAAAGTTCAGGAGTGACATTCTGCTGACTTGAGCATGGTGCTCGCAGCTTCCCAGTGAGGGCTGTCGTTTCACGTTTGCATGTGTGTGAGAGAGATTGAGAGGAAAACTCATATCTAGCCTATCGCGTTCTGTGTGGAGTATTGTGGACTTTCATCTTTTATACTTCTAGACCACGTTTTGTGTAGCTGGGCAGCTGGGCAAACTTGATATTCAACACGATGCCCACTGTCTAGGTACAGAATTTGCTGGTCTTTTTCATGTCCATGGATTGGAGTGGGTCTTGGGGGTGGTATTATATGAGATTTTTTTCACCGCTGGCAGGCAGCAGTTTGATATGGTGTAAGTAAGCAGTGGTCGTGTTATATATATATTTTTTAAGTCCATTTAGAAGAATGTCTAATGGCTTGGTATGTCTATGGGTAGGCAATCAGTTAATGCGTGTAGAATATAGTATTTAGGAAAATAGTTATATTTTGTAAGGGGACACACACATGTTGTTCAACCAAGGTGGATTTTTTTAAAAAAATCCCCTGTCATGCCCTTAATTATAGCTTTTCTTTTCAGAAGGGTAGACTGGAAGCACCTAGAGCAAGCTGCTCTCTTTCTACAAAGTTTTGTGTATGAAGAGCTGTGCTTTAGTTACATTTTTAAATTCATAGATTTGCCTCGCAATAAACCAGGCAGAGGGCCTCCTCGGTAGTGGCACCCGCCCTGTGGAACGCCCTCCCACCAGATGCCAAGGAAATAAGCAACTATCTGACTTTTAAAAGACATCTGATGGCAGCCCTGTTTAGGGAAGTTTTTAATGTTTGATGTCTTATCGTGTTTTTAATATTATGTTGGGAGCTGCCCAGAGTGGCAGGGGAAACCCAGCCAGATGGGTGGGGTATAAATAATAAATGATTATGATTATGATTATGATTATCACTGACCAGCCTCATTACTATGGCAGCAAGTTCTTTCTGGGTGACAGTATGGTGTACAGGGAAAACCAGCCAGATTGACAGGGTATAAGTAATAAATTATTATTATTATTATTATTATATTATTATTATTATTATTAAATACTTTTTTATAGCAGTGTAGACAAGGGATGTGGGTGGCGCTGTGGGTTAAACCACAGAGCCTAGGACTTGCCGATCAGAAGGTCGGCGGTTCAAATCCCCGCGAGGGGGTGAGCTCCCGTTGCTCGGTCCCTGCTCCTGCCAACCTAGCAGTTCGAAAGCACGTCAAAGTGCAAGTAGATAAATAGGTACCATTCTGGCGGGAAGGTAAACGGCGTTTCCGTGCGCTGCTCTGGTTCGCCAGAAGCTGCTTAGTCATGCTGGCCACATGACCCGGAAGCTGTACGCAGGCTCCCTCGGCCAATAAAGCGAGATGAGCACCGCAACCCCAGAGTCGGTCATGACTGGACCTAATGGTCAGGGGTCCCCTTTACCTTTACCTTTATAGCAGTGTTAGTGTGCTTTTTTTAAAAAAAAATGCAATTACTTACTTAGTTAGTTAGTTATCCATCCATCCATCCTATTTGTATCCTATGCTTTTTTTCCTAGGAGGTCAAAGCAGGATACATGAAATTTGTTTAATCCTTGCAATAACTACCCTTCAGGGTTAGTGAGAGGTGATGCTGTGCATAAAGGCTACCCTGAAAGATGCATGACTGAGAGGGAATTTGAGCCTCCAAACCTACTACACCAGCCTTCCCCAACTTTGGTCCACCCAACTGTTTTGCACTACAGTCACAATAATAGCTGACCATTGGCCATGCTGGTTTGAGGCTGATGAGAATGGTGGTCTAAAATGCCACGCTGTTGGGAGAAGCTACACTACGGTATACTGCCTCGAAATGGAAATACTTAAAATAAGCAGAAGAGGATCATATTGCTAAGCTATTTTTAATTGATGTAAGTCTGAATTAGGAATAAGACAGCTGAGCAAATGGTAATGTTTAAGAAAGAAAACAATGTATGAAAATATGCACAGGCAGTCTCCTTTTCTTGGCTTGGCAAAAGTTGGATCAGGCCTTCCTTGGTTCTGATGAAGGAGTCTCCTTTATTGTAACTGGAAGCCATGAGTTTGAGTTCTGCCTTCCGGAACACGAGAAAACAAGCTTGCTCCCTCCTCCATGTGACAGCCCTTGAGATATTTGAAGATGGCTATCATATCTCCTGTCAGTCTCCTCTTTTCCAGGCTAAACATACCCAACTCCTTCAACCTTTCTTGTTGTGTTAAGGAGACTGCTTCCTTGGTTCTGATGGAAAGGAGAGACAAAGTTGTGTGTCATCAGCATGGCTCCAAAACTCTGGTGAGCTCTCCCAGAGGTTTCATGTTTACGTATGTTAAATAGCATGGGACAAGATGGAGACCTGAGGGACACCATATTTAAACCACCACAGGATTGAATGGCAGACACACACCCCAGCACCACCTTCTGAACTTTCCCCTCTAAGAAGGACAATATTCAATGTAAAACAGTGCCCTCAAGTCCCATCCGAGACAGTCCAAAAGGATGCCATGGTTGTTGGTCTCCAAAGCCACTGAGAGGTCCAGTTCACAATGCAGATCACCCACCAAGGTAACCAAAGCAGTCTTATTTTTACAACCAGGCCTAAAACCAGATTGAAATGGATCTAGGTAATCTGTTTCATCTAGGAACCCTGATGCTGAGATGCCACCACATGCTCCTAACACCTTGCTGAGGAAGGGAAGATTGGAGACTGGTCTAGAATCAACCACAGGCCTAACCAGTGCTATTTTTCTAGAAAAAAAGGTGTCAGAACTCACCATGAACACCTCCCTCATTCTCTTAGAAAAGCAATGGTGCTCACCTGAGAGGTGCTGGAACTGAGTTCCTGTGAGTTCCCCCTAAAAGAAGCCCTGGGCCTAACTCAGTTTAAAGCTGCTTGATAGGCAGGGTTGGCCTGAGACGTTTTGCTGCCTGAGGCAAAAGACAATATGGTGCCCCTTCTGGATTGCATGTACAAAAGCTTACAGGGCTAAATCTTTCTTCAGCATTGACATCTGAAGGGAAGGTGTTCCACAGGGCTGGCACCACTACTGAGAAGGCCCTCTGCATGGTTCCCTGTAACTCACTTCTTGCAGTGAGGGAACTGCCCAAAGACCCTCGGAGCTGGACCTCAGTGTCCAGGATGAATGATGGGGGTGGAGACGCTCCTTCAGGTATATAGGGCTACCTGAGGTTGATTCCTGCATTGCAGGGGGATAAACTTGATGACCCTCGTGGTCCCTTCCAACTCTACAATTCTAGAATTCCACCTCCCTCAGCTTAAGGAAAGGTCCAGCCACATTGATTCATTCATCTCTTCTAAAATAATCCACTTTCCTTTTATAGTTGTTGGTTTTTTTAACAATCCTTTCCTCAATCCTTATTCATGAAAGAGTCTGGGAAGCCTAAGGAGCATGAAAAACAGGCAAGCACATACAGAGATATAAAGAATCAACGTGGTGGCAGATGAGCTGGTGGTCTTCCACATGTGGGGAGCTTGCAGGCGCTTTGCTCCTTGACAGTCCTTGCTGCTGCCACACCACATCAAGCCGAGGTTTGAGCGTGTTGTCTAAACCTAGGCTGGTGGTTTAGCTCTCTCTACGGCAGGGGTCAGCAACAATTTTCAGCCATGGACCGGTCCACCGTCCCTCAGACCATGTGGGGGGCCAGACTATATTTTGGGGAAAAAAATATGAACAAATTCCTATGCCCCACAAATAACCCAGAGATGCATTTTAAATAAAAGGACACGTTGTTGTTGTTTAGTCGTTTAGTCGTGTCCAACTCTTCATGACTCCATGGACCAGAGCACGCCAGGCACTCTTGTCTTCCACTGCCTCCCGCAGTTTGGTCAAACTCATGCTGGTAGCTTCGAGAACACTGTCCAACCATCTCGTCCTCTGTCGTCCCCTTCTCCTTGTGCCAACATCAGGGTCTTTTCCAGGGAGTCCTCTCTTCTCATGAGGTGGCCAAAGTATTGGAGCCTCAGCTTCAGGATCTGTCCTTCCAGTGAGCACTCATGGCTGATTTCCTTAAGAATGGAGAGGTTTGATCTTCTTGCAGTCCATGGGACTCCCAAGAGTCTCCTCCAGCACCATAATTCAAAAGCATCAATTCTTCGTCGATCAGCCTTCTTTCTGGTCCAGCTCTCACTTCCATACATCACTACTGGGAAAACCATAGCTTTAACTATACGGACCTTTGTTGGCAAGGTGATTTCTCTGCTTTTTGCTTTTTAAGATGCTGTCAAAAGGACACATTATACTCATATAAAAACATGCTGATTCCCTGACCATCTGCAGGCTGGATTTAGAAGGCGATTGGGCCGCATCCGGCCTCCGGGCCTTAGGTTGCCTACCCCTGCTCTATGGGCTAACCGTGAGCTGTAACCATGGTTTATGACTCTTGGTTTATGACTCATGATTACCATGAGGGATTGAAACCGTGAGCCCAAGTTTGGATGTCACAATAAGCCAAATCTTGGCTTAGCTTGGTAAAGGTAAAGGACCCCTGGACTGTTAAGTCTAGTCAAAAGCGACTATGGGGTTGCAGCGCTCATCTCGCGTTCAGGCCAAGGGAATCAGCGTTTGTCCAAAGACAGCTTTCTGGGTCATGTGGCCACCATGTGTAAACCACTTTTGGCGCAACGGAACACCGTGACGGAAACCAAAATGCACAGAAACACTGTTTACCTTCCCGCCGCAGAAGTACCTATTTATCTATTTGCACTGGCATGCTTTCGAACTGTTAGGTTGGCAGGAGCTGGAATAAAGCAACGGGAGCTCACCCCATCATGGGGATTCAAACCACTGACCTTCTGATTGGCAAGGACCAACAAAGAGCAAAATGACTGTGGCTGGAACTCAGCATGTTTGTGCTGAGCTAAATGTGCCAGGCCATTGCGAGCCTCTGAGATTCACCAATGATAACTCTTCCTTAGAAGGGCAGGATGCCTCTCCTCAGCAAAGCAAGCCTCTCCTACTCCTTAAAGGTGAAGGGACCCCTGACCATTAGGTCCAGTCGTGGCCGACTCTCGGTTGCGGCACTCATCTCACTTCATTGGCCAAGGGAGCCGGTGTACAGCTTCCGGATCATGTCCTGGTCTGGCGAACCAGAGCAGCACACGGAAATGCCGTTTACCTTCCCGCCGGAGCGGTACCTATTTATCTACTTACACTTTGATGTGCTTTCGAACTGCTAGGTTGGCAGGAGCAGATACCGAGCAATGGGAGCTCACCCCGTCACAGGGATTCAAACTGCCGACCTTCTGATTGGCAAATCCTAGGCTCTGTGGTTTAACCCACAGCGCCACCCGCCTCCCCCTCCTACTCCTTGCTTGCCACCAAACAAGAACAAGAGACAGCGCACCTGATCTTGGCAAAGCCAAATCCATCCAGCATAAAAGAAAACTGGAAGTACAGATTGAACCTTTCAATGAACTTGGGAGAAGAGAGTAGCAAAGACAGGAACTGGTTCTACCTGGAAGAGGAGAAGTGATAGCTATGACATAAGGAAGAGAAGACAGCAGAAAGGAAGTTAGGGATCGATACCTGCTAGGGATCATATGTTAGCCAGCAAAATTCTATCAGGAAATAGAATTGCTATCTCCACAGAAAGTAGACTTGCTAAAGACGACAAGAGAGCTTGTGTTTCCATCTAGATCTGATAGCTGCAGAGGCTGTATCTGGAGCCTGCAACATAAAAACCTTGTACTTGACAAATGACGCATAGGTAATGTCAGAGAGTGAATGTTTAATCCCGTCTTTAAGGGTCACCACCTAAGGTTTCACTTGGAAGAGAAGATACAGTTTTGGTCATGTTTGTTGCAATTTTAAGTTTATCCTTCTTGAGCATACACCAAGTGCAATAACCAGAATGAATACAGGAATGGAGAACAGATTGAAAACGCGTAGCCTGTTCAGCCTGGCCAAAAGGAGTTGTAGAGTGCCTATAACTGCACACTATGAATACACTAGAGAGACTGAGAAAGACCATGGGTATAAAAACTAATGGCTATACATCGTCCATTAAAAATTAAAACTTGGGAGCAGAATATGGTTTCCAAGGAAAAGAGGCGAAAAATTCTTAAACAGACTGCAAAATAATCATCTGAGCAAAGAACCTCGCTGATCTCAAAGAACCTTAACAAAGGATTTTCTTTTTTAAAATATTCATGTTTTGTGTACAGTAATGGCTAGGAAGTGTTCTTTTACCACCCAAGACTTTAGTATACCCTGCCATTTTTACAGCATGCAACAGTTTGCACAGTAATGCTCTGCTACTGCTATAGAGGGGAGAGCAGACTGTGCATATATTGTTCAGTCGGTGGGTGGTAGACACAAAGGTCCCAATGCCTTTAGTGCATTTATAGCCTAACTGTGCTAGTGAGAAAACAAACCTAGGTTGGTGTGTCCCAATGAACATAATTTGGAAAAGTCACTGGCCTGGTTCAAATGTAACAGTATCCACAAACTCCCTTCTCTCTTAAGCATTAAAGCAGCACTTCAGGAGTGTGTTGAACTACAGCTTAAAGTCCAAAACAAAAGAAATTACAGCTTGAGCCCTGGCTAAAAACAAACCATAAAAAGGTAAAGGTAAAGGGACCCCTGACTGTTAAGTCAGTCGCGGACAACTCTGGGGTTGCGGCGCTCATCTCGCTTTACTGGCCGAGGGAGCTGGCGTACAGCTTCTGGGTCATGTGGCCAGGATGACTAAGCTGCTTCTGGCGAACCAGAGCAGTGCACGGAAACGCCATTTACCTTCCCGCCGGAGCGGTATCTATCTATCTACTTGCATTTTGACATGCTTTCAAATTGCTAGGTGGGCAGGAGCTGGGACTGAGCAACAGGAGCTCACCTCGTCGCGGGGATTCGAACCGCTGACCTTCCGATCAGCAATCCCTAGGCTCTGTGGTTTAGACAACAGCGCCACCTGCGTCCCTTAAAAACAAACCATAGTGTTGTGGTTTGGTCAAAATAAAGAAACTATGGCTTTAACTAATGTGGTTTTGTATTAGAATCATAGAATTGTAGAGTTGGAAGGGAGCCCAGAGGTCATCTAGGCCACGGCAGGAATCTCCGCTAAAGCATCCATGACAGATGGCCATCCAACCTCTGCTTAAAAATCTCCGAGGGAAAGTCCACAACATCCTGAGGGAGACTGTTCCACTGTCAAACCCTTCTTGCTGTCAGAAAGTTCTTCCTAATGTTTAGTCGTAATCTCCTTTCTTGCAACTGGAAGCCATGGGTTTGAGTCCTACCCTCCGGAGCAGGAGAAAACAAGCATGCTCCCTCCTCCATGTGACAGCCCTTAAGATATTTGAAGATGGTTATCATATCTCCTCTCAGTCTCCTCTTTTCCAGGCTAAGCATACCCAGTTCCTTCAATCTTTCCTGCTGCATTAAGGCACAAGAGAAAAGAAACGGACACAATACCAGTTGTGCCAGCAACTAGTGTAAATAGAGTTCTCTTCCTCAGCCTGGGCACTGAGGTCCAGGTCCGGGGGCCTTCTGGCAGTTCCCTCACTGCGAGAAGTAAAGCTACAGGGAACCAGGCAGAGGGCCTTCTTGGTAGTGGCGCCCGCCCTGTGGAACGCCCTCCCATTGGATGTCAAGGAGATAAAACAACTATCTGACTTTTAGAAGACACCTGAAGGCAACCCTGTTTAGGGAAGTTTTTAATGTTTAATGTTTTATCGTGTTTTTAATATTCTATTGGGAGCTACTAGGGAGTAGCTGGGGAAACTCATCCAGATGGGCGGGGTATAAATAATAAATTGTTGTTGCTGCTGTTACCTGGCTGAATTGTAGTGTACGTTGCAGCACAGAAACAAAACACTGGGAGAAACTATACAGTGGTGCCTCTGGTTATGTACCTAATTCATTCCTGAGGTCCGTTCTTAACCTGAAACTGTTCTTAACCTGAAGCACCACTTTAGCTAATGGGGCCTCCACTGCTGCCGCCACCGCGCAATTTCTGTTCTCATCCTGAAGCAAAGTTCTTACCCTGAAGTACTATTTCTGGGTTAGCGGAGTCTGTAACCTGAAGCGTATGTAACCTGAGGTACCGCTGTACTATGGGACCAAAGATGTTACACCTCTCTAGATAGTTTGTTTCTCAGAATTTGCTCTGTAGTTGGTTGTTCTCCATATTTGCGGGTGAGAAAAAATGTTACCCCAGGTCAGGTTAGCTAGTAGAGATGGAGGAGATACCATACTTTTCCATCTATTAGACACCCCCGTGTATAAGACACCCCACACACACACACTATTTTGGGGGACTCAATTTTAAGAAAATGAGGGGACACGGCCCAAAGTTGTTGAGCCTCTCCCCACACACAGCTGCGGGCAGGAAACACTCCCTAGATCATTTCCCGCGGGCAGGTAGCAAGTGTTTACCTCACGCAGCAGCATCAGGGGAAGCTGCGTGCCACTAGCCAGCACCCCCAGATTGCTCCCTGCGTGCAGCGACATCTCCCCACCATGCCACTATCCGTGTATCGGACGACCCCAGTTTTTTGACATGATTTTTGTGTCAAAAAACCTCATTCAATACACAGAAAAATACGGTACACCTAATTTGGGGTGGGATGTGACTGAGTCCTCTTGATGAGTGAAGTTACCTTGTATACTATTGTACGATGCGGTTACTGTGGAAAGGCTTGTTATCATGTGGCGATGAGTTGGCGTGGCAATGCGGTTGGGCCAGATAATCATCCCGTTTTCTCCCCTCCGTGACTCCGATACTAACCCACGACCCCTCTTCCTTGTCTTCTAGCCCTTTCAATGACCGACCAATGTGTAGGATTTGCCACGAAGGCAGCAGTCAAGAAGACTTGCTCTCTCCCTGTGAATGTACGGGAACCCTGGGGACTATACATCGCAGCTGCCTGGAGCACTGGCTGTCGTCTTCGAATACCACTTACTGTGAACTCTGCCACTTCAGGTTTGCAGTAGAGCGCAAACCAAGGCCGCTGGTCGAGGTCAGTAAACGGGGCATGTCCTCCCAAGCTTTGCTTTAATGATGTCTGTTTTTACACCAGGATCACAACAGATTTGCAGCTTCGATGAAGCAAAAGAAAAGCTATACATTTGGGGTGTTTTTAGAAGCGGGGGGCGGGGAATGAAGGGCAGGAAGAGGGCAACCGTAATTAAAACCTTCATTTTTCCTCAAAGAACATGGGTGAGAACAATAGGACAAATGGTTTGGCTCCTTTGTAGGACTCTGCATACTTTGGGGGAGAATATTTACAGCATATATTTTGTTCTTTGCTTTAACGGAGACCTCTTGGGGGGAACATAGATCTACAGAACACTATTTTAAAAAAACACATTACTGCAGATTGTAAAATGTAGATCAAGGATTAATGTTTTTAAAAGTCACCCCATGGACGGATTTTTTGTATTGCCACTTTATAGTTTTAACGCTGGTTTGTTTATTGGCCAAACATTAGTCACATCAGCCAATTTTTCTTCTTCTGGTTACTTACGGTCTGAGACTTGCAGGTTGTGGATACAATTATTTTAAATAAATTGGACTGCACATAAAATTTCAATCTGCTCTCTGGGCTGCAGCCGCAGTCTCTTCCTTTCTTTTGAAATATGATATTATTACAGGTCACTTCTTTCCTTTAGGAATTTGAAAACAGAGCTGTGATGATGAGAATTCAGAGTCAGCTATACAATGAATTATAGAAAGTTGGTTGAGAAAATGACAACATAAAAATAACTTATAGCAATCACAGTGGGGGCAGCATATGTCTGATCATGCAAAACTGCATGGGTGCTTGTCTACAACAGTGGAGCCTTGCTTCATAGGAAGCTGTTTGGCCCATCTAGCTCTGGTGGTTCCCTCACTTGCGAGAAGTGAGGTTATAGGGAACCAGGCAGAGGGCCTTCTCAGTAGTGGCACCTGCCCTGTGGAACGCCCTCCCATCAGATGTCTAGGAAATAAACAACTATCTGACTTTTAGAAGACATCTGAAGGCAGCCCTGTTTAGGGAAGTTTTCAATGTTTGATTTTTTTATCGTGTTTTTAATATTCTGTTGGGAGCCGCCCAGAGTGGCTGGGGAAACCCAACCCGATGGGTGGGGTATCAACAATAAATATTATTATTATTATTATTATTATTATTATTATTATTATCTTGTCTGCACTGATAGGCAGATGTCTTTCTCCGCCCTTCCTGTGGATGACAGGGGTTTAAGTTGGGATCTTCTACGTGCAAAACTCTGCCATTAACCTACTACCCTTTCCATTTGAAATGTAAATGCCGACCGCAACAAATTGGTAATACAACAAAAGAATTCCCTACGCATGTGCAGCACAGCTTAGCAGCCCCTGACAGTCCAGAATGTGCTTCCCTTCGGATTTTGTAATGCAAGGGTATATGGCAGTTGAAGGAGAATATTCTTTCGGTCAGGGAGCAGGAAATCAAGCTGCCTTCTTCTGTTCAGTCTCCAACTGATGGCTTGAGCCACGCTGTCATCTTTTTGTCACCATATTCTTCCTGGCAAGGAGGAGGCCTAGGAATCCAGTAGCCCTTTAACCTCTTGCCAAAGGGTCCTTCCCATTCAAGGACTGCAGTTTGAAGGTCACTGGCAATTTGATCCAAGTCTTCTTTCTGGCAGTTACGAGTTTCATGGTTAGTTTGATTTGACAAAGTCTTGCGGTACCCTAAAGTTATTGTGGCGTGAGCTTTAGATTTCAGTTAAGCAGCTAAGTTTGGATAACAAGACAGTGGCATCTTGAACAGGCGTCTTATACAGCAGAAGCCCAAAATCAACATTTTTGATTATCAGTAAATGCAACTTTTGCAGGGGGGCGGGCCAGACTGTAAGTCTACTAAGATAAAGAAATCGTCACAAGATAGCACTGAGTAAATAAATAGATTTTCGGGCCCAATTTATTGCAATTTCACCTTTGGGATTGAAAATGTTCTTTGCACAAATGGAATGTGACATTTCTTGAGAATTAATAGTGACTGGGGAAGTTGAAATTGAACGTTAACCCTTCCAGAGCTGGAGAAGCTTTGCTTTTTAACATCCTATGGAGAAAGGAACATTCCCTCTGGCCAAAGGAAAAAAGCAGACGAAATCAAGAAGCAATAAATACATTTGTGTTCGTTTGCTCAATGGAGGGAAAAACAAAGGAACAGTAGTAACCAAATTCAGGAAAACAAAATTCACAATACTAGTGACTATTTTATCATTGCAGACTTTTCAGTTATCCTACCCAGTAAACATTTGACTGGTATTGCAGGGCTTGCAATAACAAAGTTCTAATTCATGGGTAGGCAAACTAAGGCCCGGGGGCCGGATCCAGCCCAATCACCTTCTAAATGCGACCAGCAGACAGTCTGGGAATCAGTGTGTTTTTACATGAGTAGAATGTGTCCTTTTATTTAAAATGCATCTCTGGGTTATTTGTGGGGCATAGGAATTTGTTCATTTGATTTTTTTTCAAAATATAGTCCGGCCCCCTCACAAGGTCTGAGGGACAGTAGTCCTGCTGAAAAAGTTTGCTGACCCCTGTTCTGATTTAAATAAAAAATATGTAAGAGATGTAAGAGATTGTTACTTTGTAGAAAGCCAGTGAACTAAGGCTTCATTAGAAACTGGAAGTATATAAAATATCAAAGTACAGTTAAGAGGGACATATGCAAACAGTGAAGCCGCTGAACTGATATACAGTATGAGATTGCCTCCCCAAATGGGCATTTTTTCTATTATCCCCTGAAGAAGTTGGTAGAACATGAGACTCTTAATCTCAGGGTTGCGGGTTCAAGGCAAAACTTTCCTGCAATGTTAGGGTTGCAGTAAATGAGCCTCGTGGTTCTGTCCAACTCCACAATCAATGATTCTATGACTTAGAATCATAGAATCATAGAATCATAGAGTTGGAAGAGACCACAAGGGCCATCGAGTCCAACCCCCTGCCAAGCAGGAAACACCATCAGAGCACTCCTGACATATGGTTGTCAAGCCTCTGCTTAAAGACCTCCAAAGAAGGAGACTCCACCACACTCCTTGGCAGCAAATTCCAATGTCGAACAGCTCTTACTGTCAGGAAGTTCTTCCTAAGGTTTAGGTGGAATCTTCTTTCTTGTAGTTTGGATCCATTGCTCCGTGTCCGCTTCTCTGGAGCAGCAGAAAACAACCTTTCTCCCTCCTCTATGTGACATCCTTTTATATATTTGAACATGGCTATCATATCACCCCTTAACCTCCTCTTCTCCAGGCTAAACATGCCCAGCTCCCTTAGCCGTTCCTCATAAGGCATCGTTTCCAGGCCTTTGACCATTTTGGTTGCCCTCCTCTGGACACGTTCCAGTTTGTCAGTGTCCTTCTTGAACTGTGGTGCCCAGAACTGGACACAGTACTCCAGGTGAGGTCTGACCAGAGCAGAATACAGTGGCACTATTACTTCCCTTGATCTAGATGCTATACTCCTATTGATGCAGCCCAGAATTGCATTGGCTTTTTTAGTTGCCGCGTCACACTGTTGGCTCATGTCAAGTTTGTGGTCAACCAAGACTCCTAGATCCTTTTCACATGTACTGCTCTCAAGCCAGGTGTCACCCATCTTGTATTTGTGCCTCTCATTTTTTTTGCCCAAGTGCAATACTTTACATTTCTCCCTGTTAAAATTCATCTTGTTTGTTTTGGCCCAGTTCTCTAATCTGTCAAGGTCGTTTTGAAGTGTGATCCTGTCCTCTGAGGTGTTAGCCACCCCTCCCAGTTTGGTGTCATCTGCAAATTTGATCAGGATGCCCTTGAGTCCATCATCCAAGTCGTTGATAAAGATGTTGAATAAGACCGGGCCCAAGACAGAACCCTGTGGCACCCCACTAGTCACTCTTCTCCAGGATGAAGAGGAACCATTGATGAGCACCCTTTGGGTTCGGTCAGTCAGCCAGTTACAAATCCACTGAGTGGTAGCATAGTCAAGACCACATTTTACCAGCTTCTTTACAAGAATATCATGAGGCACCTTGTCAAATGCCTTGCTGAAATCAAGGTAGGCTACATCCACTGCGTTCCCTTCATCTACCAGGCTTGTAATTCTGTCAAAAACGAGATCAGGTTAGTCTGACATGACTTATTTTTCAGAAATCCATGCTGACTATTGGTGATCACAGCATTCCTTTCTAGGTGCTCACAGACTGTTTGCTTAATGATCTGCTCCAGAATCTTCCCTGGTATTGATGTCAGACTGACTGGGCGGTAATTATTTGGGTCCTCTCTTTTCCCCTTTTTGAAAATAGGGACAACATTTGCCCTCCTCCAGTCTGCCGGGACTTCGCCTGTTCTCCAGGAATTCTCAAAGATGACTGCCAGTGGTTCTGAGATCACATCTGCCAGTTCTTTTAATACTCTTGGATGCAGTTCATCTGGCCCTGGAGACTTGAATACATCTAAACTAGCCAAGTATTCTTGTACTATCTCCTTAGTTATTCTGGGCTGTGTTTCCTTTGCTGAATCATTTGCTCCAAATTCTTCAGGTCGGGCATTGTTTTCTTTATCGGAGAAGACTGAGGCAAAGAAGGCATTGAGGAGTTCAGCTCTTTCTGTGTCCCCTGTTTGCATTTCACCATCTTCTCCTCTGAGTGACCCCACTGTTTCTTTGTTCTTCCTTTTGCTACGGACATACCCATAAAAGCCTTTTTTGTTGCTTTTAACCTCTCTAGCAAGCCTGAGTTCATTCTGTGCTTTAGCTTTTCTGACTTTGTGTCTACACGTGCTGGCTATTTGTTTGAATTCCTCTTTGGTGGTTTCCCCCTTTTCCATTTTTGTACACATCCTTTTTTAATCTTAACTCAGTTAAAAGTTCTTTAGATAGCCACCCTGGCTTCTTTAGGCACCTTCCATGTTTCTGTCTCATTGGTATTGCCTGACGTTGTGCTTTTAGTATCTCCCTCCTAACAAACTCCCAGCCATCATGAACTCCCTTTCCTTTTAGTATTACTGTCCATGGGATCTCACCCAGCACTTCCCTAAGTTTTATGAAGTCAGCTTTCTTAAAGTCAAGAAATTGAGTCCTAGTATGCTTGGCTGCTCCTTTCCGCTGTATAGTAAACTTCAGAAGAGCATGATCACTCGCGCCTAATGATCCTTCCACTTCTACCCCACTAACCAGGTCATCAACATTGGTTAGGACCAGATCTAGAATGGCTGTTCCTCTTGTTGCTTCTCCCACTTTCTGGACAATGAAGTTGTCTGCAAGGCCAGTGAGGAATCTGTTTGACCTTATGCTCTTGGCTGAGTTTGACATCCAACAAATATCCGGGTAATTGAAGTCCCCCATTACTACTATCTCCCTTCCTTTTGCATGCTTGGCCATCTGTTCCAGGAAGGCATCATCTATGTCCTCCGTTTGGCTTGGGGATCTATAGTAAACTCCCACAATGAGGTCACTGTTATTCTTCTCTCCCTTAATTTTGACCCAAATGCTCTCACTTTGGCTTTGAGGTTCTAAATCTTGGATCTCTTCACAGGTATACACATCCCTGACATATAACGCCACTCCTCCTCCTTTCTTGTCTGGTCTGTTTCTCTGAAATAGATTGTATCCCCCCATTATTACATTCCAATCGTGGGACTTATCCCACCAGGTTTCAGTGATGCCTATTATGTCATATTTAGTTTGCTGCACCAAGAGCTCAAGCTCATCTTGTTTATTTCCCATGCTTTGCGCATTAATGTACAGACATTGAAGTCCATTAATCATTCCCCCGTGACTCTTATTTAAGGATTTTTTCCTCCCACCACTAGGTCTGCGTGCTGTTTGCTCCATTTGGTCTATGACATTTGGATGATCATCTTCATCAATTGATAGACTCCTACCTTCAGGAGCACTGTCTCCCTCCCCACATTAGTCAGTTTAAAGCCCTCCTGATGAGGTTTCTGAGATTTTTGGCAAAAACATTTCTCCCAACCGTTGTGAGGTGCAGCCCATCGCTTGCCAGAAGTCCATCTTCAAGAAACTGCAGTCCGTGATCTAAGAATCCAAACCGTTCCTGTTTACACCATTTGCGAAGCCAGCTGTTCACTTCCACTATTTTCCCCTCTCTCCCTGGGCCACGTCGTTCAACTGGGAGGACAGATGAGATGACAATTTGTGCATTTAATTGCTTCAATTTCCTGCCCAGAGCCTCGTAGTCTTAAGAGCTGGCATATTCGTGGAATGGTTATATTTATTGAAATATAACTTAAGACCTGCAAATCATAAGCAAATCATAAATATAACATAAGACCTGCAAATCATAAATATAGGGGAGCACCTTTCCCGCATCCTCTGGACATGTCAACTGCTACATGCAGTGGCTTCCTAGCCACAGGCTGTGTGTACAGTCGTACCTTGGTTGTTGAATGCCCCGAAACTCAGACGATTGAAACCCGGAAGTGACTGTTCTGGTTTGTGAATGTTCTTTCGGAAGCCGAATGTCTGACAGGGCTTCCGCAGCTTCTGATTGGCTGCAGGAGCTTCCTGCAGCCAATCTGAAGCCGCAATTGGAAGTCGAACGCTTTGGCAGTCGAACAGACTTCCGGAACAGATTCCATTTGACTTCTGAGGTACGACTGTACTCCATTGCCTGTCAGGGACTAGACTGAGGAAGAATGGTGAAGACCGCCCCCCTCGTCTTGGACCTTCCAGAGACCAGTACTGTGGTACCTCAGGTTACAGATGCTTCAGGTTACAAACGCTTCAGGTTACAGACTCTGATAACAAACGCTTCAGGTTACAGACTCTGATAACCTGGAAGTAGTACCTCGGGTTAAGAACTTTGCTTCAGAATGACAACAGAAATTGCATGGCAGCAGCAGGAGGCCTCATTAGCTAAAGTGGTTAAGTACCTCAGGTTAAGAACAGTTTCAGGTTAAGAACGGACCTCCGGAACGAATTAAGTTCTTAACCCGAGGTACCACTGTATAGATTTAGAACAATGGTTTGCAGAAGGACATAGTTCAGAGGCTGCAGAAGGGAGAAGCTGGGAAATATTGGAAGAGGAACAGCAGGAAGAAGCACAGAGAGAGCTGACAGACTCAATGTTCTTGAAAAGCATCCCTGACCCTCTCCCAGGACCAGGAGTTCATTGAGAGTAGTAGAACTGAAAGCTCAGGGGCAGAAAGCTCAGTTCACCTGATGTAGGGATGATGTAGAATAGGAGAGAGGGAGTGGGTAGGACCTTACTCGGAGCAATGCCATTATCTAGGGGAGACTGCATTCCTTTGTCTCTCTCTCTGTGCATAGTGAATATATTACTGTATTTTCCGCTCTATAAGACACACCCGACCATAAGACGCACCTAGTTTTTAGTGGAGGAATACAAGAAAAGCCAGCAAGAGCCGCATACACGCTTGCTCGGTGCGACTCTTTAAAGATAGAGCGGCTCTTGCTGGCTTTTCCGAGAGGTGGGAGAAGGAACTGACAGGCTGCCCTCCATCCCTTTCTCCCACCTCCCTGAAAAGCCAGAGCAAGCTGAGCAGCTATCTCTGAAGCCAGCACAGCAAGAGGGAGAGCTGCACAGCGGCTCTTGCTCTGCTGGCTTCCCAGCGAAGCAGGATGAGGGACGGAAGGGGCTCCATAAGGGCTCCTTTCTGTCCCTCCTACTGCTTCGCTGGGAAGGCAGCACAACGAGAGGCGCTGCACAGTTCTCCCTCTTGCTGTGCTGCCTTCAGCGATAGCTGTGCAGCCTGCATTCGCTCCATAAGACGCACACACATTTCCCCATACTTTTTAGGAAGAAAAAAGTGTGTCTTATGGAGCGAAAAATACGGTACTTGGTAAGAACTGTTTTTTGGTTTATCTGCTTCTTGGCTGCCACCGTGGGAGGGATCAGATTCCCTGAAGCCTGGCATTGCCCTACTAAATGACCCTTGGTGGATGTGGGGGCTGAGCATGCACACTGTAACCTGGCAGCAAAATATTGATCCTATCCCAGCCTATGGACACTCCAGACCAGCAAAGTTTTTGTGGCTTGGGATGGTTCACGGTCCCATGGACGCTGCGGTGGGCCGGAGTGTGTGTGCACACGAACGCTATTTCCGGTGCTCCTTCTTGCACGGAGGAGGCGTGCGCAGCTTCCCATTGGCTGCAGGAGCTTCCTGCAGCCAATGGGAAGCCGGCCAGCATCGCGGAAGGCGATCCCCGCTCTGCTCCGTGCCGGTTTAGCACGGTGCACGGGAGCCACCCTAGTGGGCGGCCGGGGTCCATGGGCCAGTTATATGACCCCCATGAGCCACTTGTGGCCCATGGGCCTTAGGTTGCTGACCCCCACTCCAGACCCTCACCCCAAGCCTGTAGCTTCAATGTTTTTACCAGTATTCCTTCCAAAGTAAACTCCCCCCCCCCACTAGTGTAAAAACTGAGGAGTCAGCATGGCTGCCCAAAAGTATCCTGCCATCGTTCTTCATGGATGGTAGCCCTGCACTGCTAAGTTCTATTATACTTTATACGACTGGTGAAATTAGAGAGTAGACACGTTTCCGTTGGGTACAACTTTCAATGAGCTGTTGGACAAGATGACTTCTGTGACATGCTTAATCCTCCAGTCTCTTGTAGCTTTTTTTGTTTTGCTTTGCAGAGAACATGGATTTGTGCCGGAATCAGCCTTGACTTTACATTAGCCTTATGCCTCATTCATTGCGCAAAGCAGGTGGGCTTGAAGGCTTCAGTTTACAGCAGGGGTCAGCAGGGGGCCGGTCTACTGTCCCTCATACCTTATGGGGGCCGGAGTATATTTTTTTTGGGGGGGTAAACAAATTCCTATGCCCCACAAATAACCCAGAGATGCATTTTAAATAAAAGGACACATTCTACTCATGTAAAAACACACTGATTCCTGGACTGTCCATGGGCCGGATTTAGAAGGCGATTGGGCCGGATCCAGCCCCCAGGTCTTAGTTTGCCTACCCCTGGTTCACAGCTTCCTTTCCATTTTTATCTTTCAACAACGTACTTGTGCTCCATTTTTTCAGAGTAAACCTAGAGCATAGCTTTTTAAACAAAGGCCAGTCATTATAGGTCCTCTCTTATTATTTCACAGTCTAGCCTAAGATCTTTTTCCGTGTGGAACAATAATCCTAGAGCGGAGTTTACGAGGTCAGCTGCATACTTTATAATTGTGAGGAAATGGAACCAGGAAAATGAAAATTCAGATGCCAGGCTTTGCATGATGTTTTGATCTTCCTTTTGATAAGAGGCATCTTTTTCTTTTCTTTTTTGGCCCTAGTGGGAGAGATTAGATTTTTCTCATTTCTTTTTCCTATTAAAAGACCACAGTGCTATAGATAAGAATTGTATGAGCAATATAAAAGAGGCTTGTTTCCTGCAGGCGGCAGAAGTTTTAACCAAATAGCAGAGATTCTGTTCTCACAAGATCAGGCATAAAAATGTAGCGGAAGTGATATAGTGAATAGGCATTCTGAAGGCGGACCAGTTTATATTTTACTGCGACAACGCAAACAAAAAACCACATTTGCAATGTGCATCGCTGACGGTGCATGCCTTATCTACTGCTGTGAAATGCTGCAAAACTCGGTCTTCCAAAGGAAGTTGCAGTTCACTAGCCAAAATATAGCACAGCACTCCGCACTTTTTAATAATATTTTATTCTGATGTATCAGACCCATGTAGAATTTTAACTCTCTTTGTCAGGGAACTGCCATCGGACGGAAGGGAGGTGAAAGGGCTCACACAGGTTGGGAGAGACGCAGCAGCTGAAGAGGGAACCAGCAGGGAGGTGAAAGGGCTCACACAGGTTGGGAGAGACGCAGCAGCTGAAGAGGGAACCAGCAGGGAGGTGAAAGGGCTCACACAGGTTGGGAGAGACGCAGCAGCTGAAGAGGGAACCAGCAGGGGAGAGGAGCTGAGCTGGAGGGATGGCTCAGAGACACTTCCAGCGAAAACAGTGGGGAGGTTTCAGGACCTCCTGTAAGAACACCCACTCCTCGCCGGAAACTGTCACGCAGAGATTCCAGAAGACGTGTTTCCGTTAAGGAGCTTTTATGTTGGAAGCGATGCCGCCTGCAACCACGGTCGGAATCTGCTAGTGACTAGAGTAGCCATGTCTGAGGGGCTCCGTCACAGACAGAGGTTTGTGGACTTGAACAAACTCTGAGGGGATACAATTTTACGCACAAGCAGCTCATCATCCCATCACACTCTTCTTTCCTCCCAGCTGGACCCAAGAAAGCAACCACTAAACTATGGTCTAGCGTCATGTGCATGAGACTGGGATGGGCCTCAGATGCACACATTCTCTCTCCTTCTCGTTGGACTTTTATGCATAGCAATTCCCTGCTTCCATTCCTGGTTTGAGGCATATCATGGTTTGCTTTTTCTCCCAACCAGCGAAGTGTGGTTTGTGCTACTGTCAGGGACAGGATAGGAGGAGGAATGGTGTAGACTGCCTCTGCCTCCTCAACCTTCCAGAGAAGAGGAAGACAGTATAGATTTACAACAGTGGTTTGCGGGAGGTCAATGCTCAGAGGTAGATGAGGGGCGACGTTGGGAAATAATGGGAGAGGAGGAGGCGGCAGAGCCAGAGGGGCAGCTGGCTAACACGTTATTACTAGAAAGCATTCCAGATCCCTCTTCTCCCAGAACCTGGCAAGCACTGAAAGTAGGAGAGCAAACGGCCTTAAGTGGCCACCATAAGGTGTGTGATGCTATTGACCAGGCATAGGCCAACTCGGCCCTCCAGATGTTTTGGGACTACAACTCCCATCATCCCTGACCACTGGTCCTGTTAGCTAGGGATGATGGGAGTTGTAGTCCCAAAACATCTGGAGGGCTGAGTTTGCCTATGCCTGCTGTTGGCGATTGAGGAGAGAAGGGGGTGGAGATTACTCGGAGAAATGCCATTACTCCAAGAGGCTGCATTTCTAAGCCTCTCTCTGTGAATATTGAATAAAAGACATTAGTAAGAGCCTTTCTTGACTATCTATTCCTGGCAGCCTACCGTGGAGGGGATAGGATTCCCTGACGCCTGATAGCTACCCCGCAAAACAGATTTTTAAAACAGACTCAAACCTTCATTTGATGTTACATTTGGCCACGCTAGTAATAAAAGTGAGTTCATGTCCTTCCTTATGTGGAATTCCTGCACCTGGTCTCAATTTCCATTCCTGGCATCTTCAAGTAGAAAAGACACCCATCTGAAATTCTGCTGCCAGTCACCGTACTGAGCTGGATGAACAAATGCCAGCTTTTAAACTTTCAAACACAGTAATAGATAAGAGTTACCCTATATTTTCTGCACAAGAGGATCACAAAGCCATTAAGCTGATGGTGTTAGTCCAGGGGTGGGAACCTGTAGTGGGATCCCTGGGTATAGGGCAGTATATAACTTCTAATATAATAATAATAATAATAATAATAATAATAATAATAATAATAATAGTTGTCAGGGATTATGGGAGTTGAAGGTCCACAGGTTCTCATCCCTGTTAAACCAAGGACAGATTTGTAAGTTGGTTTGTTAGGTGGCAGTTCTCTCCATGCCCAGAATTCCACATCAGATTTTGTATTTTTGTCTTTAATTCAAACTGCCCTTTCGTGTTACATTTAGCTAAGTTTGCACATGTGGAATGACTCCCGTATTTTCAAAAATATAACTGCCGATCCATTCATGAATGAAGGAGAGAATAGGTGTTGCAGGCAAATTTGCTTTTGTCTTAATTATATGTGGGGAAACTAGTGATTTTCCTGACTTGGAGGAGCTCCATCATGACAAAATTTGATCATTCATTGATCCGATAAATGTCATTTCTTCTTTTTCTCTTCTGTTATCTTAGAACTGCTTAAACATAATTTGAAGGAGTAAAACACACTGCATGAAGACGTGACAGAAACGTGTGTTATCATAGAGTCCTATATGAAATGGACAGCCCATTCCTGCACTGCTGCTTCTTGTGAAAAGCACAGTAGAACTTCTAGAAAATTAAACTCAGTGACATGGATCGCAAGACTAGAAAAGGTTTATTTTTGAGTATACCCACAGACTTTAATGTATAGTAAAGAGTGAATGGTTTCTGGATTATACTCTGGGTGTCAGTAATACAGTGGTACCACGGGTTAAGTACTTAATTCGTTCTGGAGGTCTGTTCTTAACCTGAAACTGTTCTTAACCTGAAGCACCACTTTAGCTAATGGGGCCTCCTGCTGCTGCCGCACCGCCAGAGCACAATTTCTGTTCTCATCCTGAAGCAAAGTTCTTAACCCGATGTACTATTTCTGGGTTAGCGGAGTCTGTAACCTGAAGCGTATGTAACCTGAAGCGTATGTAACCCGAGGTACCACTATATAAGGAATTTGGGCATGAATTTCCAGGTCGATATTTTTATTTCCACTGCTCCGGTGCACATAAATTTAAAAATAGAGTCATGGGTTACTTTATAAGTTACTACTGTATTCTTGTAACAAAGAATCGTGTTACCTCTTACCAGATCATAAAGGACTATATACAGGCAGCCCCCCATTTATGCGAGGGCAGGGGTGACAACTTGCACCCCTCCCCACACATTGGAGGGGGAAGCATCGTGTGACGCAACAAGTGATGTCATGTGACATGCCCTGCCCAGTGGGACATGCCGCAGGGCATGCGCTGGGGGACAGTACACACAGAGAGCCAGTGTGGTGTAGTGGTTAAGAGCGGTAGACTCATAATCTGGTGAACCGGATTCGCGTCTCCGCTCCTCCACATGCAGCTGCAGGGTGACCTTGGGCTAGTCACCCTTCTCTGAAGTCTCTAAGCCTCACTCACCTCACAGTGTTTGTTGTGGGGGAGGAAGGGAAAGGAGAATGTTAGCCGCTTTGAGTCTCCTTCGGGTAGTGATAGAGCGGGATATCAAATCCAAACTCCTCCCCTTCTTCTTCTTCTTCTTCTTCTTCTTCTTCTTCTTCTTCCCCCTCATTTGTTCCCACTCGGGTGGGGGGTGAGGCACCCGGAGGGTGGCGGCGGCGGATGTCGGCCCCCTGAATATTGGGGGGGCTGGGCCCCCTGGTTCAAAATATTGAGGGGGCTGGAGCCCTTGGTGCCCCCTATACCCGTGCAAGGGTTAAGTTCTGAGGCACCGCACACATCAGTAAAACCACGTATAATGTAAACCCGTTGAAAAAGCCTGCGAAGACTGTGCCCCCGTTCTGCCCTTTTAGTGGCATTTCAGTGACATCTTTATGACATTTCTGGGTTGGTGTGTTGCACGTCAACACAGTCGTGCACATATTGAACATGTACTTTAAAAGAAAATGCAGGGAATGCTATAATCTAGTATAATAAAAGTTAACATGCAATCTAAAAATACATGCAAGCCATCCTTTGATGCTCCTACTGAACTTTGCGTCTTGAGCCCTGCAATAAATATCATTGATTAGGACTTGTTACTTTCTTCTCTCTCTCTTTTTAACCAGTCACTTGGCAGCTGGGAAGCTGTTGCTGGGGGATGGGCAGTCAGCTTCAAGCATGAAAGGATTAAGATGAGCTTGCTTGGTAATTGAAAGCTTTCTGAAGCCTTGTACTGAAATATGAAGCTCATCTGACTGTTTTTCCATGTAAAGCTTTGAACCGACTTCCGTTCCGTCCTCCCTTTTGTACATCCCAGCCCTCCACTGTTCAGCGAAGCAGGAGTTTGGTATCCTGTTACCACAGCAGAAGGCCAGATGCTCTCCGACACAGTTCACAAAGAGATCACTGTCAAGGCTAGAAGGGAAAAGGGGTTTTCGGCATGTAATCAGCGAGACGAAATGGCCCATTGGCTTTAAGGGCAAGAGCTGGCAATCCACCCTGCTGAAGCCAAACAGGGGACAACTTCATTACACTCTCCGGAGGTGGTTAAAGGCAGGGCTGAAAGATTTATCTTTTTCTTTTAAAAGCTCATTTCAAAGAGTAAGAAACGAGAGCAGTGAGAGACATTAGGACAGAATAAAAATGATGATGTCCAGCTAGAATAAACAGCTTAGAAATGCTGAATGGGCTCCACTCTGTGTGTAAATAGTAAAAGTAAAGGTACCCCTGACCGTTAGGTCCAGTCACGGATGACTTGGGTTGCACGCTCATCTCGCTCTATAGGCCAAGGGAGCTGGCGTTTGTCCACAGACAGCTTCCGGGTCATGTGGCCAGCATAACTAAACCGCTTCTGGCGCACCAGAGCAGCGCACGGAAACGCCATTTACCTTCCTATGTTTGGGGTCTGGTAATTGAAATATACTCTGAGTCGAGAGTGGATTTCATGCTCTTTATTCAGCTCATAGTGGTGAGGAGGAATGAAAGTCCCCTCAAAGTATCTGGTTTATATACATTATTTACACAATGGGCTGCACGTGATTGGCTAATTCCGGAATTCTCCTGTAGGCCAATTAGGTTGTAGATTCACTTGAATCTGGAACCGGATTGAGTGGCTCCTGCAGACCAATCATACTGCTGCATTCTGAATCCTATTGTTCTAGGACCAATCATACTGCTGCATTTTGGATCCTATTCAACTCAGTACATAACAGTAATAATGATCCCACTACCAACAGGAGATCTACATGAGGCCTTGTAGCTATATCCTATATACCTCAGCTGAGTGGTAACTTAAAAATGGTTGCTAGCACCCCAAAAACATTTTTTGGTGCGATATACGTAGCTCAGGTGCCGCTGTGGCATAAAAACTCCTAATCTGGCTACCTCCCACGCCATGTGCTCCTGCACCAATCTTGGGTTTCTAGCTTGCTCATGCACACACTCTGTTATGTGTTCTCATTATGAACTTCCACTTAGCGTTGTTGCCGCGTACTCTTTTAGAAAAAGCCCGACAGCTTTCAAAGTCCAGATTAAGAAGTGTATATTTATCCAATTACTGTAATTTGACATTTTTAAATCTCCCAAATCCTACTCTTTGTCTTGCATATTTCCTGGCAGCTGGTACAAAACAATGACTTTAGTGTCTTCTTGCCTGTGATGAAGTAAACCAATTTACGATAAAGCCTGCGTATTGATTCTAGCACGTGAATTTCTCTTAACACAAGCTGAAAACATGCTGTGACCTTTTAAAATGGCTTCTGTTGCCGATGGTGGTCATTGCATGTCCTTTATAACCTTCCCCCTTATATCTGATAGGCCGAACATTTGCTGTTGCAGCCTGCTGGAAGATTCTGTACAGCCAAATCTACAAAGTTATCCAGCTTGTGTGTTCAGCCTGAGCCTACTTTGACCCTTAAACATTGCTGATTTTCACTGGTGAAAATTTAGATTTTGTATACGTTCCCCTGGAAATAAATTCCACTAAGTGCATGGAATCTGCTCCCCAAATTATTCTGCATAGGATTGACATGCTATTCACACTTACTTGGGGAGTGCCTTTGATTGAACATGGTAGTGTAACATCTCAGCATTTTAGGATCGAGGTGTGTACATCTGTAATCCTACGCAAATATAGCTAGGCCAAAGTCTTATTAAAGTCAGTAACACTTATTTCTGAATCAACATGGTTAGGATAGGACTGATAAACCCAAATATTCAAGCTCTAGCTGTGGATCCATTCCTATTTAAATAGCTGATGAATTTAAAATTCCCCAGGGATTTAAATGACTGAGTGTTGGAAATTGCACTTAGATCTTCAGGCTAGCTAGAATATGTGCAGAGTCTTATGAGATGTGTTCACTATATGCTAATTGCTCATCTAGAGAAGGTCAAGAGTTCCCATTTAATCCACCTAAGGCAAATGATTGCTTGACATTTGCTTCTGTTCTGAAAAGTGCCTGTACAAAAATGGCACACTTTCCTTTAAGGAGTGCTCAGTGTTCATTCTCGTTAGCTGTGTAAAATTAAAACTCTTTAATCTTAGGGTTGTGGGTTTGTGCCCCACACTGGGCAAAAGATTCCTGCATTGCAGGAAGTTGGACTAGATCAGGGTTCCCCAACCTTGGGTCTCCAGCTGTTTTTGGACTACAACTCCCATCATCCCTAGCTAGCAGGACCAGCGGTCAGGGATTATGGGAATTGTAGTCCAAAAACAGCTGGAGACCCAAGACTGGACTAGATGATCCTGATGGTCCCTTCCAGCTTTACAATTCTATGGTTCTATGAACTATTTATTTCTTTTGTACAAAACAAGAGAGGCTCAAGACTATATATTGATATATGTGAGTATAAATTAAGATCTGGTAGCATACAGTGAGGGAGGGGGGAGTATTTGATCCCCTGCTAAATTTGCCTGTTTGCCCTCTGATGAAGAAATGACCAGTCCATAATTTTAGTGGTAGGTTTATTGTAGCTGTGAGAGACAGAATAACAACAGGAAAAACCCCAGAAACCCAGAAGACAAAAGTCAGAGATTGTTGTGCATTATAATGAGTGAAATAAGTATTTGATCCCTTTGCAAAAGATGTCTTAGTACTTGGTGGCAAAACCCTTGTTGGCAATTACAGAGGTCAGACGTTTCTTGTAGGTGGCCACCAGGTTTGCACACATCTCAGGAGGTATTTTGTCCCACTCCTCTTTGCAGATCCTCTCCAAGTCACTGCCATTTCAGAATCGGGATGATTAGAAAGATGTACGAAGCCATTCATTTTTCCGATCCTGATGTTTTTGTCATTGAAAACAGGTGACATCCCAGACAGTTGGATAGCTGGATTGATGGGTAAAGGTAAAAGGTGAAGGACCCCTGGACGGTTAAGTCCAGTCAAAGGTGACTATGGGGTTGCAGCGCTCATCTCGCTTTCAGGCCGAGGGAGCTGGCGTTTGTCCACAGGCAGCTTTCCGGGTCATGTGGCCAGCAGGACTAAACCGCTTCTGGCGCAACGGAACACCGTGATGGAAACCAGAGCGCATGGAAACACTGTTTACCTTCCCACTACAGCGGTACCCATTTATCTACTTGCACTGGTGTGCTTTCAAACTGCTAGGTGGGCAGGAGCTAGGACAGAGCAACGGGAGCTCACTCCGTCGCGTAGATTCGAACTGCTGACCTTCCAATTGGCAAGCCCAAGAGGCTCAGTGGTTTAGATCACAGCGCCACCCACATCCCTAGGATTGATGAGTAAACATTACTGCCAGTTTATTAAGGGGATGGGAGAATTATCCCAATCCTTGTCTACCTCAAGTGTTTCAGACTGTGGCAGGCTCGTGCAACTTTCAGATGAATCTTCCCATTTAAACTGCGTACTTACAGAAATGACAAACCTAGACAGCATCTTAAAAAGCAGAGACATCACCTTGCCAACAAAGGTCCGTATAGTTAAAGCTATGGTTTTCCCAGTAGTGATGTATGGAAGTGAGAGCTGGACCATAAAGAAGGCTGATCACCGAAGAATTGATGCTTTTGAATTATGGTGCTGGAGGAGACTCTTGAGAGTCCCATGGACTGCAAGAAGATCAAACCTATCCATTCTGAAGGAAATCAGCCCTGAGTGCTCACTGGAAGGACAGATTGTGAAGCTGAGGCTCCAATACTTTGGCCACCTCATGAGAAGAGAAAACTCCCTGGAAAAGACCCTGATGTTGGGAAAGGTTGAGGGCACAAGGAGAAGGGGACAACAGAGGATGAGATGGTTGGGCAGTGTTCTGGAAGCTAGCAGCATGAGTTTGACCAAACTGTGGGAGGCAGTGGAAGACAGGGGTGCCTGGCGTGCTCTGGTCCATGGGGTCACGAAGAGTCGGACACGACTAAACAACTAAACAACAACAACAGCTTACAGAAATGCATTTCTGCAGAGCTTTGTGGAGAAAGAAAAAACAACCCCATAGTATGTGATATTTTAGGGTCACCGGAGCATGGATAATAATTCTGCTGTTTGCCTCTGTTGTTAATAGCCATCCACTTAACAGATCTCTCCCCACTGACATTTTCTATAGCTTTAATTTGTTTCTGTGCATGGTCACCTCCGCATTTCACCCCAGACAGGAGTCTTTCACAGCTTGCTAGCACCTACCATATGTCTGTATCAAAAAGCCCATTCAGCACTTTATCGAGATCATTGTGCAGCCTTTGCCTCCATGAATGGATCTGCTGGCTTGACTTTTTCCTCTGTAGAGTAGGTTGACAGTGCACTTTTCTGAAACACAGCCTGGAAACTACATTTAGAACAGAAACATGTCTAGGAGAAATTAGTGCATGCTATATTAGGATGTATGCATATGCCATTTTCAGTAACTGCTGATGCTTAATATCATACATCTTAATTTATACCAGAGGGTAAAATAACATGTAATGTATTCAGTTGTGTTCTGTGTATAGTGAAGTTTTTCCAGTAATATATTTGTGTGGGGGTAGTGTGCTTCTATTTATTTATTTTAGTCATATCCAGTCTTGCAATAGTGCTAGTCTTGGGCACCTGAACGTAGCCAGATGCCATTGTGACACTAATGTGAGGTCCAAATTTAGATGCTACCTTAATCCCACACTTTGGCTTCCTGTCTCATTTTCTTGTTTCAGGAAAAAAGAATTTGAAGGGCAGGGAATCCCGTTTCGCCATCCCTGTGTTCATGCATACAGTGGTACCTTAGTTGTCGAACTTAATCCGTTTTGAGAGTCCATTCGACTCCCGGAACCATTCATAAACCAAGATGCGGCTTCCAATTGGCTGCAGGAGCTTCTGGCAATCAATTGGAAGCCACGGAAGCCGTGTCGGATGTTTGGCTTCCAAAAAAATGTTTGCAAACCAGATCACTTACAATACTTCCAGGTTTGCGGGGTTTGGGAGCTGATTTGTTCGTGAACCAAGCTGTTCAACAACCAAGGTGCCACTGTAGAAGGATAGCTTGACCAAATGCAGTTTAAAAAGTAAAGGGACCCCTGACCATTAGGTCCAGTCGCGGACGACTCTGGGGTTGCGGTGCTCATCTCGCTTTATTGGCCAAGGGAGCCAGCATACAGCTTCCGGGTCATGTGGCCAGCATGACTAAGCCGCTTCTGGCGAACCAGAGCAGCGCACGGAAACGCCGTTTACCTTCCCGCCAGAGCAGTACCTATTTATCTACTTGCACTTTGACGTGCTTTCGAACTGCTAGGTTGGCAGGAGCAGGGACCAAGCAACGGGAGCTCACCCCGTCGCAGGGATTTGAACCGCCGACCTTCTGAACGGCAAGTCCCAGGCTCTGTGGTTTAACCCACAGCGCCACCTGCGCCCCAAATGCAGTTTAAGGAATCTAATTTGAGTAAAGTGGAATTGGAAACTAGGGGTCAAAGAAAACAAACTCAATTCAGTGAGGTTGTGCATAGAGAAGTTCCCAGTAGATTGAGCTCAGGTTCTACACCTGCAGTTCCCACCACAATCAATGAAAAGTCCAGGTGCTCATTCTCTAACGCTGCAGGTCACCTTTTAAGCAAACAACTTTCCCTCCAACTCTTTGGCAGTCGGCTTTGAAAGAAGCACTTTCAAGTTCCTCTTGGTTGTCTTACAGTTTCTCATTACAAGGATTCATGGAAATTGAACAAGGTGTAGGTTGCAATCAATCATGTCTAGAAGCAGCCCAATTGTAATCGGGGATTGCAACAGCACCTTCATCCAGCTGCTATCCTCAGCGGTATTTTCTAAGGAAATGAGATAAATCCTAACAACAGAACCCTTCAACTTTGCATAAAATGCCCAAGAACTGCGCAAGAGTTCTGTCTGAATGTAATTTAACACGCCGCTTTGTGTGTTTTTTTTCTAAAATGTCATCTTCCCAACTGCCTTGCCAAAATGTTTGACTAACCTTGAGGTGACAGCAATAAGTGATATGCAAGGAAATTTGAACATTTAGTCCCCACCTTCAAGCAAAATTTGGCATTTGCAAAGACCTTCTGTTCCAGAATTTTCTTTAAAAATGCCATTGAATTAATCCTCCAAAAGTATACCCCATGGTTAATACATGCTAATCATTCCTTCGTAACTTCAGCCTCTGGTGATAAACATGAAATGTCATACCTTGGTTCAAAAATGCCTTGTGACTTGAACGTTTTGGCTCCCAAACGCCACAAACCCGGAAGTATGTGTTCCAGTTTGTGAACTTTTTTTGGAAACCGAATGTCTGACGTGGCTTCCGTGGCTTCCAATTGTATGCAGGAAGCTCCTGCAGCCAATTGGAAACTGTGCCTTGGTTTTTGAACGTTTTCGGAAGTTGAATGGACTTCCAGAATGGATTCTGTTCGAGAACCAAGGTACGACTGTATGTACAAATGAGCTGTTGCACATCTTGCAGCCCTGAGAGTATTCACACCTCCTGTTGTCCCTACAAAATACATTGTTTCACTGCAGTCGTTGCACACATTCAGTTGTATGATCTGTAGAGCAGGAGTAGAGAACTTTTCAAGCCTGGTGGAACTGGTTTTTCTCTCACTCACCCTTCATGGGCTATGTTAGACAGGTGGGTGGACCTGTCCATCTCCTGATGTCACAATGATGTCAGGAAGCCTTTTTTTGCCCACAGGGATCTTCAGAAGCCACTTTGAAGATCTGAAGTCCAGTTAGAAGCAACTTGAGAGGACCTTCTGAAGACGTGGTTGGATCACAAGAAGCCCATCCCATATCTTTGAAAGGAGCTTTCCTGGTGCCATCAATGTCATATATGATGTCAGGTGTTGAGCAGGTGGCTGTGACATGGACAAAATGGCCTCGTGGGTCAACTGAAGGTGCCTGGCAAGCCTAGCTAGACTTGTGCGTTGGGGTTTCCCCATTCCTCCTGTACAGTAACAATCGATAGGCAAGCTGGTGTGAAGGCATGTTGAGATAGTCACTCCTGTTTACAGGATCTGACTGGGTCAAGAGTGGTAAAGAGCTGGAACAAGATCGCAGAAGGGAATTTTGGATATCTGCCCGGCACTAATGGCGGAAGGCTAGATCTCCCTTTGTCTTGGATGTGACGCACTGAGAATTGCCTTTCTGCGCAGAAAGCGAAAGTGGATGAGCGTCGATGAGAACTTTGGATTACAACAGGAAAATAAATAAGGAGAAAATTAAAATATTTCGCACAGAACTACAAAGGCCTAACCCACTTGCTAAACGAATTCAGAGGCTGTTATAAATAAATGAAGGATCAGCATTGGAAATGTTTTATTGGGACTGTTTGGACTAATTAAGGAATGCAGTACAATATTAGATCAATATTAGATCATCACTCCCTGAACTTCAGAGCATGGGAAGTCACCAAAAGATATATAATTTGGCATGAATATTTGGCTTTTTTGATTGTATTATAATTTTGAATGTTTTGATGTGGTTTCTACTGGATTGCTAAAATGGAAAAGTTAATTTAAAAAAAGTTTTTTAAAAAGAGAGGTAAAGAGCAAACACACCAGGTCCGAGTACAATGTTTATGAGGAACTACACATGTGAAATGGATTTTATGTTTATGAGAAGTAACAGGCACTGTATGTAAGGAGAGAATAAAGGTCAGCTGTGATAATGGACTAACTTCAAGTGAAGGATGAAGTGGATATTAAAGAAGAGATGAAGTGGAAGCGGGAAACCTGATTTTTAAAAAAAGAAATTGTATTAAAGTAATTTGGTCTGATCTGTAATAATTTGGAAAACCAATAAAACAATATTATAAAAGAGAGAGGTAAAGAGCGTGCCTAAAAATGCAACGGGCCTAGTGGCGAATTCAGACTCAAGGAGTTGAGATCTCAAGATGTTGCCACAGGTGAGGCTTCCTATGTCAGCATTTCCTTCAGCTGGCCAGCGGTGAATGTAAAAAACCTTTATTCCCAATCGCGTATATGCAGTTTATCTTTGGCATTTGCATCCTAGGTAAAGGTAAAGGGACCCCTGACCATTAGGTCCAGTAGTGGCCGACTCTGGGGTTGCAGCGCTCATCTCGCTTTATTGGCTGAGGGAGCCAGCGTTTGTCGGCAGACAGCTTCCGGGTCATGTGGCCAGCATGACTAAGCCACTTCTGGCGAACCAGAGCAGCACACGGAAACGCCGTTTACCTTCCCGCCGGAGCGGTACCTATTTATCTACTTGCACTTTGACATGCTTTCGAACTGCTAGGTTGGCAGGAGCTGGGACCGAGCAACAGGAGCTCACCCCGTCGCGGGGATTCGAACCGCCGACCTTCTGATCAGCAAGTCCTAGGCTCTGTAGTTTAACCCACAGAGCCACCCACTATCTTGTAGTAAAAAAAATAAATATCCACACGTAGTGCACGGCAGGCACGAAAGAGATTCTGCTGTGTGTGAAAAATCATCTCTGTGGTGCTGAAGCATGGAGGCTGCATTCAGACCAGGAGAGCTTGGCAGATATTTGTGTCTCTGGCAGGGAATGTGGCTACTGGTTGATGGATTGAACATTTCATGGAAGAGCTTCACTATTTATCTGAGCCGAAGTCTCACTTTGTTTCCACAATGGCAGTTGTTGTACCTCTCATCCTTCATGAGTAGAGCCATTTTCTTTCCAGATTGTGTCCTGCCGGTTAACTTTTTGCCATTGCATTCGAAAAGGCGCCGTATCAATTTCTCCTGTGTTGTTGGCATCCTCCTAATCCATTTTATGCTGATATTAAATCTAGGCAGTTCAAAGAGGTGCTATGGTGGTGGTTCTGGAAATGCAAGCTTTTCAGCTTGCCAGATAGAACGACGCCCCCTCCCTCTGTTCACTGTTCGGGGGGGCGGTTCCCCGGTTCCCCCCTAAAGTATGGTTACCAGATTTTTTTTAATGAATCTGGGGACACTTTTTTATTTTTATTTTGCAGTTGAGTAGCAACAGGGGGTCAGTAGTGGGGATGTTGAGGCAAAAGACCCTGGGCCCAAGCACACATGCATATTTTATAAAGGTTCAAAGCCCTTCTTTCGCACCCTGTGAAACATTAATGTGCAGAGTTTTTTAAAAACTGGGCAACGGCGCACCACCCGCAACTCCCGAGCCTCCCCCGATCAGTCAAAACAAAGGGGGAAGGGGATAGGAGATCTGTACTGCCAGATGTCCCTGGTTCCCCTTCGGCAGTGGCGGCGGCAGCGGCAGTCAGCAGCCCGGAGTCAGCCTGGTAGCACAGTTGGCTCTGGCTGGCTTCAGGAGCTGCTTACTGCTTGCTACAGTGTCGTCCACCATTTTTCCTTGCCAGAAGTCCCCATATGATGTGTTACGCACAAGACACATCATATGGGGACTTCCAGAGAGGAAAAATGGCGGGCCCAACAGCAGCGAGCAGCTCCTAAAGCCAGCCAGAGCCAACTGTGCTACCAGGCTGACTCCGGGCTGCTGAGGCTGTTGCTGCCATGTTTCCCGGGGACAGATTTGCAAATCCAGGGACTGTCCCCGGGAACCAGGGACATCTGGGAACCCTACCCTAAAGTCTATTTTATAGCAATGGGGGAAGGCCCATTGCTCTAAAGGAAGTTCTTGTGCAGGCTTCCAGTGATGGGACTAGTCAGTAGAATCCCACCTATACCTTCTTCAAAAATCTACTTTAGGGTATTCTTCCATGTACTTCTCATCCCCTGCTTTTGGTAAATACCATCCGACTTGTAGTGGGATGGATGCAATACACAGATGTCATAATTCAAATTCATAATGTATTAATAATAAAAATCCTGGAAAATTTAAGAAATAGATACAGGAGAAGTCAGAAGAACTGTTGCTCGATAGCAGAGGGCAAAGTGTTATGAAGTGTATGATTGATTTGGGGTCTTTAGATTTCATGCTTATCCCAACCTGTTAGTTACAGCACAAATCTGACTAAGGTAAAGGTGAAGGTACCGCTGACCATTAGGTACAGTCACAGACGACTCTGGGGTTGCGCACTCATCTCACTCTATAGGCCGAGGGAGCTGGCGTTTGTCCGCAGACAGCTTCCGGATCATGTGGCCAGCATGACTAAGCCACTTCTGGCGAACCAGAGCAGCACACGGAAACGCCATTTACCTTCCCACCAGAGTGGTACTTATTTATTTACTTGTACTGTGACATGCTTTTAAACTGCTAGGTGGGCAGGAGCAGGGACCAAGCAACGGGAGCTCACCCCGTCACGGGGATTCGAACCGCCGACCTTCTGATCGGCAAGTCCTAGGCTCTGTGCTTTAGGCCACAGCGCCACCTGCATCCCTACAAATCTGACTAGTTCAGTTTAAACTGCATTTAAGGGAGGGGGGTGTTTGACTTGTATGAGTTGCATTCCTTGTTCACTGGTATGTTAAGTGTTATGCTGAGGCGGAAAAGGCCAACTAGATGTTTAGCAAATGTAAGTGGAATTATAGGGATATGAAATTTCTTTATCTCTACCTGTTTTATTAGAGCTTCAGGATGGACGTGATGCCTAAAGGAAATGATTATCCTAGATTGTGAAGAATTTTCTGTATGGATTTTTATTTTATTTATTCTATTTTGGAAAAGTTTTACATCATAGTCTTTGCTGATGCCAGCTCAATGGGCACAGAAAAACATCTCGCAATCTCAACCCCAAGTGACTTCCCTAAGAAATGTTCAGATTATTTTTTAAAGTGCTGCACCTTCCTAGCCTGAAACAGAAATATTGAAAAACAAAATAGAATGTTTGTGAAATGGCATTTCTAGCCTTCTGGAAGGGAATGGCCTTGTTAGCATCGCCAGAAATCACTGTTGCGATCTCTTATAGGATTAAAATAAGAAGACATGCAATTTAGACAGGTCACAGAACCCATTATTCTCACAAAGGAAATACAACCTTGAGGAAAGACGTCTGAGTTGTGTGTGTGTTAAATAGATTACAGACTCATAGGCCAATTGCAACAGGTTCAGAGGAAGGAAACGAAGATTGCCAGCAGTGTGGAGAATAAGTCCTATGAGAAAAGATTGGAAGAACTGGGTATGTTTAGCCTAGAGAAGAGGAATCTGAGGTGGTGGTAGCAATGGGAAACATAAGGGCATCTCCAAATAGCTGAATGCCACGAAAAGGGGAGGAAGACTTGTTTACTGCTGCCCTAAAAGAGAGGGCAAGATGTTAAGGGTTTAAGTTACAGGATGGTAGAATCAGCTGAACATCAGGAGAAATTCCTCTTACAATTAAGAACGATTCAACAGCCAATTTCTGGGAATGTTCTAGGTCTGCTTTCCTGCATCTAGGCCTGGTTTCCTGGTTCTGTTATTACAATTGTGCGGCTATCGTGCTTTAAAACATTGAAGCCAAAGAATCTAAGACTCGTGGGATCTACATGTGCCACGACCTTATTTTTTCACTGAAGAATGTAGCAAATAAAGCTACAAATAAGTCTCACACACTTTCATTTTTCAGCTTGTATGAATGTTAGAATTCCTGCTCCATGATTGCAGTCATAGGATTGTTGTCTATCACATGACGGTATATGTTTTGACTCCACAGAGGGGGAAGTGACGGAAACAGGATGTTTGTGTTACTGTGTTCCGTGAAGTGGGACTGTTGTCCTTTGTTCTTCTTCTCTTTGCTGTCTGATGCTAGAAAGAGAGGGAGCCATATTGCAGTGCTCCATGTGTGTTTATATGTAAATAAAGTAGATTAGCCAAAATGCTGAGTTGCTGAGGTCTGTTAAACATGATGCGCAAACTCTGCAGATCCCTAAGTGTGCCGGTGTCAGTTGGCATCGGTCGCTGTGATGTTCGGGCTGAAGAAAGCTTTTGAAGCTCCCGAATGATTGACCAGGAGGGAGAGAGCATGCCAGTCAGGCATGTGTCTCTGCCAGAGTCCTACTCGAGTGTAGGCTGAACTCCTGACAGTCCACACTGAATATTTTACCATTTGAAGCCGTTCATGTGCTCCCCTCATGTTTGGTCTGGAGGGTCCCCCAACTTTCTGGAATGGATTTAGGGAGAGTTGCACATGGAATTGCCACAAATCCGCCCTATTTCGCTGGTGGAACCTTACTGTCTCCTGAGTGACACTGTGGGCAACAGCCCAGTGATAAGAGAAAAGGTTGCTTCTAGGTGACCTGTTTGTTGAGCATTCATAGAACCATAGAACTGTAGAGCTGGAAGGGTCCCCGAGGGTCATCTAGTCCAACCCCCTGCAATGCAGGAATCTCAACTAGATCATACAGGGCAGGTAAAGGTAAAGGACCATTAGGTCCAGTCATGACCGACTCTGGGGTTGCGGCGCTCATCTCGCTTTATTGGCCGAGGGAGCCGGCGTACAGCTTCTGGGTCCTGTGGCCAGCATGACTAAGCCGCTTCTGGCGAACCAGAGCAGCACACGGAAACGCCGTTTACCTTCCCGCCGCCAGAGCGGTACCTATTTATCTACTTGCACTTTGACGTGCTTTTGAACTGCTAGGTTGGCAGGAGCAGGGACTGAGCAACGGGAGCTCACCCCGTCACGGGGATTCGAACCACCAACCTTCTGATCAGCAAGCGCTAGGCTCGGTGGTTTAGCCCACAGCGCCACCCACATCCCTTTACAGGGCAGGTAGCCACCCAAAAACCTCCAAGGAAGAAGAGCTCACCATTTCCAAGGGAGTCCATTCCACAGTTGAGCTCTTACCATCAGAAAGTATTATTCTGTTTTTATATGTGCTGGAAGTCACCCAGAGTGGCTGCCAGATGGGTGGGTAATAATAATAATAATAATAATAATAATAATAATAATAATAATAATATTTTATTTGTATCCCTCCCTCCCTGGCCGAGGCCGGGCTCAGAGTGGCTAACATCATAAAAACAACACAATAAGCATAAAAACAGATATCAGTTAATTAAAATACATCTTAAAATTAATTCAGACAAGTTAAACTCTGGGCAGGTGGCAAGTATCAGGGTGGAATTGAGAGTGGTTAATACTTGCCAGGACCAACTGTTTCCACTGATCATACAAGGACCTGTGAGTGGGTTGGAGGCCTCCTTCAGGCTTGTTCTATACAAAGGAAAGTGAGTCAAAATGCATCCTTCCCAAAGGCCTGGTGGAACAGCTCCGTCTTGCAGGCCCTGCAGAAAGATGTCAAATCCTGCAGGGCCCTGGTCTCTTGTGGGGGAGGGTTCCACCAGGCCGGGGCCACGGCCAAAAAGGCCCTGGCTCTGGTCGACGCCAGTCTAATTTCTAATAATAATAAAAGGTCTTCCTGATGTTTAGTCAAAATCGTTTTGTTAGTTTTGCTCTCGTTCTCATTCACCCTGATTTGTTTGCAGAAGGTGTGTTGGGAGGTTAGACAATGTTCACTGTTTACTGAGCATTGCTATTACACACTTGTCTATTTCCCCAGTAGTTGTTCTTGTTGTTATGGAAGGGAGTTTATTGCACAAGGACATCAAATCGGCTTGAATTGCATGGGATGTGATTGAATCCCACCCACAAAATAACCACAGCCTGAAAATGACTTGAAATTATTTTGGATCTACTAAAAGATGCATTTATCAGGGTGGTTTTTATCAATATTTTTTACAATTATTAACACTTGAGAATTTTGCATTCTTCTCATTTTTTTAACAGGAGTTAAATTTTGCTGCCATCTAGGTTTCAAAAGTAATTGAACTGTCGGATAAAAAATAATTAGAACAAGTCAAAGGCTACAGATATGAGACCTGATATTTCTTTGCTACATTTACCTTTCTGGTTTATTACTCAGTTCATGATTCGTAGCATACAATGTAACTTGGGGTGGTGGGGGAATATTATTAAGCCTGTTTTAGAGGGGGAAATGTAGCCATTAGAGCTATGTTTTTGTATGCTTCTTGCTACAATTGTAGGAACTGAGACATTTGTTTTCTCTGCTCTTGTTTTCCAAATCTTCCTTCCTATTTTGTGCGGACTTGGTGACATTTCAGCTCTTCCCATCTTCTTTTCCTCTGCCCTTTTCCCTCCTCCTCTCGACGGTTGAGATTTATTACTGGCTTCATATTACTTTTAGTATCTCAGTAACACAGGAGAAGTTTCTTAGGTTAGAAAACTCAGTTGCAGCCTTACCCTCTCTTAGTTCATTGTGAAAAGTGCTTTGAGATACTGCAAATTAGGACTTTGGAAAGGACAAGAGTCAACTTAGTCAAATCCTTTGCTCTAAGGCAGGAAGAGACCCCAGCCACAACTCCAAATATCAAGCAGAGTGGTCACTTTGGAACATGATTTGTTGCTAGAAAAATCTCTAAGCAGGAAAAAATACAAGTCATGAGCCATATAGATTTTTTTATTTTTTAAAAAAGGTAAAGGGAACCCTGACTATTAGGTCCGGTCGTAGCCAACTCTGGGGTTGTGGCACTCATCTCACTTTATTGGCCGAGGGAGCCGGCGTACAGCTTCCAGGTCATGTGGCCAGCATGACTAAGCCACTTCTGGCGAAGCAGAGCAGTGCATGGAAACGCCGTTTACCTTCCCACCAGAGCGGTACCTATTTATCTACTTGCACTTTGAAGTGCTTTCGAACTGCTAGGTTGGCAGGAGCTGGGACCGAGCAACAGGAGCTCACTCCATTGCGGGGATTCGAACCGCCGACCTTCTGATCGGCAAGATTTGAGTGTGGAATACTTTTGTACCTCTAGTATAATGATCAGTGAAAAACAGTGTGGTCAAAACCCTTCTCATAAGTAGTAGTAATAGCTCCACTGGGTGACCTTGAGTTTGTCACTTTCTCTCAGCCTAACCTACCCCACAAGGTGGCTGCAATGATAAAATTGAAGGGAGGATATCTGTGTGCGTTGCCTTGAAAGGCAAGATGCACATATAATTAACTGAATAGCAACAATCGTGCGATCTATAAGCAGGGATAGTGATCTGTACAGTTATTTCTCTAGGGGCTGGGATCTACGGTAAGTGAATAAGGATACTATAGATGTTTTAAGAGTTAAGGATTTTAAGTGCATTGGCTCTGCTAGTTTGAGAAAAGAGAGACATAGCAGTTCAGCAGCACAACTTATTTATTCATTAGCTTTATTGGCTAACCTTTACCATAACGTCCCAGGGTGGGGTACATTTTTTTTTTTAATACAATTATGAAACAAACAAAACAGTTACAACCATAAAACAGGAAAAGTACAAAAACTTTGTGTGTTTGTGTGTGTGTGTGTGTGTGTGTGTGTGTGTAAACAGTTAAAATACAGTGGTACCTCGGGTTACATACACTTCAGGTTACATACGCTTCAGGTTACAGACTCCGCTAACCCAGAAATAGTGCTTCAGGTTAAGAACTTTGCTTCAGGATGAGAACAGAAATTGTGCAGTGGCGGCGCAGCAGCAGCAGGAGGCCCCATTAGCTAAAGTGGTGCTTCAGGTTAAGAACAGTTTCAGGTTAAGAACGGAGCTCCGGAACGAATTAAGTACTTAACCTGAGGTACCACTGTAGTTCCAATATATGTGCAGGCTAGGATAAATATCTCCACCGAAAAGCGTTGTTGAAAGGCAAAGCTCCAAAAAGACAACATGGATGGTACCTGTCTAATGTAACAGAAGGAAATTCCAAAAAATAGGTGTCACCACACTGAAGGCCAGATTCCCACATTGCATGCATCTCCTGGTTAAGATGTTATCCGCAGGAGGCAATTTTGATGTTTGGTGGGATATATAAGGGGGGAAACGATCTTTTAGGTTTCCTGGTCCCAAACTGTAATACATGGACTACTCTTGCATTGTAATCCGAAACTGTTTAGCATTGCATTTTAGCGATTCCCTCTTTAAAAAAGTAAGTAAGTAAGTAACAGGTTTCATGGCACCTCTAACAGCCAGTGGTTTTCTCTCTCCCAGACTCTGCCTAGAGGTTTGGCAAATTATAAAAAAGAGTGATCTTTTCAGCCTGTTCCTATGCCCATGCCCATCCATTCACAAATATGTAAATAAATAACAAGGCAGGTTATTGATGCTGTTTCAACAAGAGAGCCATTACTAGTCTTCATTAAATTAGTTTTACCTTCAGTTTACAAAACACACCTGTAAAAGCCAGCACTCCCCAGATAAGCTGTGAAATGTCCAGATTTGGGAAAGGGTGATAATAAGTGCTTTTCTGTCCTATATACTTGGTCTGTATAAGTTTTTTTTCTAAGAGCCTTTTCAGCAGCTACCTCATATCTTTGAAACTCCCTCCCTCAAGAGGTTTGTTTGGCTCCCTCCCTATCTTCTTTTAAATAAGCATTAAATACTTTTTTTTCTCTCTTTGAGAGAAAGAGGGTGGGGTGGGTTTTAAACTGATACTGCTTTTAAAATGCTTTTAAATTACAGTACATTTGACTTAGTTTCCTGGTCTGAGTTATTTTGTGATGCTGTTTTAACATTTTATATACTGGTCTTATATTGTCTATCTTTTTCCATTTGATTGTAAGCCACCTTGGAGCAGGGTGTGTGGGGTGTGGACTTTGTTTTGCAACATGGCACAGAAATTCTTAAATAATTTTTACAGCACTGAGTGAATTATCAGCTTTTTGCAAGTATCGAACCCCAGAAATGAAAAAAAAAAGTCAATGAAAACAGCAAATAAACCCAACTTACCCTATTTCAGATGACACACCTTCACTTTACCTCTTTTTAATAGTGGTTTTTAACAGCATTTTCTTTTTCTTTTTTGTTTGTTTGTTTGTTTTGACAAAGTAATAATCATAAATAAATAAGAATAAACATGTGCACCCCACCACTGAAACCATTCCATTGTAACTATCCAACCTCCCAAAATTTCAACAACTCTTGTGATGGCTTGACACCTTTCCGTTTTAACAGTACAAATTCTACAAACATCCTCCACATCTCTTCAAAATCATTTCTCCAGCATATTCCCCGTCTTTCCATAATGGCACATGTTAATTTTTTGTTAATAGCTATATCCCACACCTCTTCATACCATTCTTCCATTTTATATTCCACTTCCCAGCTATAATAATTCATGCAGCTGTCAATAAATTTGTGATCAAGTCCTCCATAGCCTGTGAACCTTACCTCCCTCCCTCTTTCTTCCTTCCTTCCTTCCTTCCTTCCTTCCTTCCTTCCTTTCTTTGCGATCATCTGGCTTGTGTTTTGGGTTGTTTGAACCATCCGTTTTACAAACCGAGCAGAGAACTAACTAAAAAGACAGTGGAATGTTGTGAGTTGTGTTAAGGGAAGGGAGCCAAGTTATCCCGATGAAAGCATTGATTTTGCTGAGACTTATTCTGTGCTAATTCTTTCTACAGTGGCTAAGAAATCCCGGCCCCCAGCACGAGAAACGAACTTTGTTTGGGGACATGGTGTGCTTCTTGTTTATTACTCCGTTGGCTACCATCTCTGGCTGGCTGTGTCTTCGGGGAGCAGTGGACCACCTGCACTTTAGTAGTAGGCTAGAAGCTGTTGGCCTCATTGCACTCACTGTCGCACTCTTCACAATTTACCTCTTTTGGACACTAGTAAGTACACTTTTGTTGTTGTTTTGTTGTTAAGTTTCATTTAGATTGGAGAGCCATGGTTTTTTTCATGTTGCCATAATGTAGCAGTGTTCAGAGATCACCCCGCACAACTCTTGTTTTATCAAAACAGGATCCAGCTTCATAACTTTGATTTTGACTGTGGAGATGTAAAGTTATTATACATTTATTTATTTGATTTCTCAACTTAAAAATTTACAGAAATATATCAAAAATAAATCATAAAAACAAGATTCCAAGGAATATCCTGGACTTCCATACTCCCCAATGTGAGTCCTATTATTAATCAGTTCCTCCCACATATTTTATGATAATCCAAACCTTTTACTTCTTCCATTATGTCCAGAATCAACCTTAAACTATGAGTGCTATTCCAACCCTACCAACGCTTTTAACTGTTTAGAGTGGTCTTTAAGATAAGTTATAAATTTTCCCCGTTCCTTGTTAAAATTTTGGTCTTCCTGAATTCTGACTCTTCCCGTCATTTTAGCCGTTTCAGCGTAGTCCATTGACTTCATCTGCCATTCTTCTCTGGTAGGGACTTTATCTTCTTTCCATCTCTGGGCCAGTAACATCCATGCAGCCGTGGTCGCATACATCAATAGTCTTTTCTGCTCCTTTGGGATTTTGGCACCTGAGAGATGTAAAGTTAGCCTCTAAACAGAGGAACTTTGGACAGACTCTAATTAGAGAAGGGAGAAGTTGAATGGACTTGGAAAAATGGGCTGAAGAGGCAGGGCACTTCAGTTTCCGATGTGTACACGCAAAGGAGAGGTGGATGCTTCCCTCCTACAAAGCAATACCTTTCCATATCAGCTAAATGCAAAATAAAATCTGGAGTATAGGGATCCCACCCAGCATACATTCCTTTCCTCAGTTAGTGGGTGTTGGAAGAAAAACGTTTGAGACAAGTGTGCTTTCTTATTCTAATGCAAATTCTGCAAGACAGCTGAACTTGCCTCAGGACAAGAAGCTCACAAGACCTTTCTCAGTCTCCCTAAATAGGTCTTCTGTTGACACTGGGCAAGAGCAACCTGGAATGCACTGAACGAACTACAGTGGGAAAGAACTGAACCGTTCTCATTCCTTTGATATGGAGTACTGAAAAGTCAACATTTTCCAAGGCTCAGTGATGTTCAGAAATAACAAGTCTGAAGCTGTTAGTTTAACACTGTAGGTTAGACAACAATAATGTTGTTACAGTGTTGAAAGGTTGGTTTTGTGGGGGGGTTTACTGCACTAATTTGAGTTCTAGCACTTTTAAAAATACAATCTGGTTTCCTCGTCTAGACATCTGTGACTTGGTGTCACTAACTGAACTTGCTCCTCTAATCTGTGGGAAAGGTTGGCAGCTCGATCACAAGTTCGTTGGAGACAGAATACATGAATACGTCAAGTTGGCCTTATCTGTTTCCAGGGGACTGCCAGTCTGATGCACAGGCATGGAGAAATTGCACTTAATTCTCTTGCCTGGAAGATGTCTTATTGTGGTACACGGATTTGGGGAAAGGAGCAGCTCATAAAGCAGGGATGGGGATGGAAAAACCTCTGGTCCTCCGGGTGTTACTGGACTCCAGCTCCCCCTCATCCCTAACCATTAGGCATGTTGGTTGCAGCAGATGAGAGTCTGAGGTCAGCACCCCACAGGCATTTTGACATGGAAGTAGAAGTGCTTTCGAAGTTGCGCTTGCAATACTTGCACTTTTGTGTGTGTGTTACTATGAGATAGCAAGTTTAAACTGTGTGTACATCACATCTGAAATACCCTGATGTGAAAGGCAAAAACTGACATCCCTGAAATTGCTTCTCCTTACCTGAAATTTTGCAGTACCTGATCTGCTCCTCCATGCACCCTGCCTGTTGTAATAATCAAAGTTGTAGTAATGGAAACAAGTGAGTTCCATCTGTGTTCAGGTTTTCAGCAATGTGCAATAACTAACCTGTTGACACACTAAATCGAGGGTGGGATCCTTTTTTGGGTGCATTCCCTCATGCGGGGACTGGATCTCTTTGGTGGGCAGAGTGAGAGGCAGGTGGACCAACAGTCGCAACTCTTATCTGAGCACAAAAGCCTACATTTTGAGCCACACCAATGTCAGATGTTTCTGTACAGATGCATATCTCCCCGGCCTCTGTTCAGGGAAGCAAGTGGGCATCATCATAGTTCAAGGACACATTCCAGCCAGGCAGAATCTCTCAAGGAGGCTGTGGCATGAAGAGTCCCAAAGAATGAACAGAGGGCCCCATTCGGGCCCTAGGCCTGAGATTTCCCATCCCTGCATTAAATAGATATTTTGAGTTTTGTGAACGAAAAATATTGTGGCATCTTAAAGTAGCCTTGGGAATTCCATGCAGTAAGAGTGGGTTAGTGGACGGAGACACAGATATCTCCAAAACCAAAGTGCTGCACCAACAAGCACAAAATAACCCCTCTGCAGCACCACAAATCCAACTCAATGGTGTAACATTGGAAAATGTCGATCATGTCTCCTACCTGGGCAGTTACCTTTCCACAAGGGCCGACATTGATGCCGAAAATCCAGCATCGCCTGAGCTCTATGAGTGGGGCTTTCTCTCAATTGAAATGCAGAGTGTTTGAGAACCGGGACATTCGCAGGGAAACCAAAATGCTTGTTTACAAAGCTGTTATACTACCAACCTTACTGTATGCTTGTGAAACATGGACCGCTTATAAACGCCATCTCCAACTGCTCGAAAGATTCCATCAACGGTGTCTCCGAAAAATTTTACACTTCACTTGGGAAGACAGGCATACTAATGCCAGTGTACTGGAAGAAGCAAAGATCACCAGTGTCGAAGCAATGATTCTTCAACATCAACTTTGTTGGACTGGTCATGTTGTGCGGATGCCTGATGATCGTCTTCCAAAGCAACTACTCTATTCTGAACTTAAAAATGGAAAGCGTAATGCTGGTGGTCAACAAAAGAGGTTTAACGGCTGTCTCAAGGCAAATCTTTAAAAAAATGTAGTATAAACACCGACAACTGGGAAACACTTGCCTGCAAGCACTCCAATTGGAAAACAGCCTTTACCAAAGATGTCATGGGCTTTGAAGACACTTCAACTCAGGACGCGAGGGAGAAACGTGCTAAGAGGAAGGCATGCTTGGCAAATCCACACCGTGATCAACACTGTGGAAGGACGTGTGGTTCCAGCATTGGCCTCCACAGTCTCTTACAGACTCATTGTTAAAACTGTGTTTATGGAAGACAATCTTACTCGGCTACAAGTGATTGCCAAAGAAGAAGGAAGAAGAAGAATCTCCATACCTCCCCCAGAAGCCCACCTGGTTTCTGTGCTAGCCATCAAGGGAGTAAAGTTCTTCCATCACCAGCATGGAAATGGCAAACAGGATGTAGAGTGATGTGTCTCTCATCTGTCATCCTACCCAGTGGAAGTTGAGTAGTCAGCATTTTTACAATGGCTGTGAAGGATGAGAATGTAGGTGACAAGTCTCTTAGTTGGCTAGTATTTGGGGGGGATAGGCTAGTGATTTTTATGGGCATATCTACAGGTCTAGCAGATTTAGTGTGCCATAAGCTTTCAAAGATGCCTGGCGTGTTATCCTCATTTGTCAGAGAGAGAGAGAAATTACAGAGAGAGAAAGACCTACAAAGAAAATAGTAAGCAGCAGGACCAAAAGGTCATGCAGTGAGAGATACAGTCTGACATTCTGTGACTGTGCCTCTTGCGTTTCATGATCTTTTGGAACCAACGGTCATATTCCCCCCCCCCCTCTGCAAAATGAGAATGACACTTCATATATCTGCTTAAGTGAGCTTTAGTCTACAAAAGCTTATGTGACAATAAATCTGTTTTGCCTTTAAGGTGCCAGAAGACTCTGGCAGTTTTTACATTGGGCTCTTACTGGAGAACAGCCACAGTGAGTTCCACTCACCTTTTACAGAGCATCCATTCAATGTCATTAACACAACACCACTTCTTGTCTTTACTCCCCCCCCCCCCAATATCTCAGAAAATCCAACTTCTAAAACTTATCGCCATCTTTGCGTCTTTGAATGCTGCCTTTCCATAGTAAACCATCTTCAAGGTGGCTCCTGGCATCAAAACATGTTGTGTAATCACTAACAGAAGATGTAACAAATGTAGTCATATAAACAATAAAGTAATGAAAGTTTCTCACATTGAAAAATTAGACAATCACTTCCGGGGTGGCGCCTCCGAAAAATGGCGGAATTCCCTTCGAACTGAAGGGAACCCGCTGCACGGAGGCTTGGGTCCTGCCGCTACGGCGCAGCGGGGGCCCTCAAAAACCACAGGCGGAAGAAGCCTGTGGGCGTGGGACTCGGCGGGCACCGAGGCGCTCTCTCCCCTTGTACAGGAGCCCGGCACGGGGCTCCGGAGCGGGAGGTGCGTGGTGCTGTGAGTCGACTGCTTCCTCCGTGCAGCAAAGCCGCACTGCCGTTTTCGGAGAGCGCTGCCTTCTTCTTGGACAATCTGGCATTTAAAACATCTATCCGTGAGTACCTGATCTTGGAAGAGCTGAACTACTTTTAAGATTGGAGAACAATTAAATAATATTGGATCTGGACTTGAAATTGAACTTAATTGGGACTCGGAACGGAAAGGTCTAAACAGGAAGTCAACCTTCCGTTCTTTTGTTAAGCGAAGAAAGCAAAGATAAATTATACTAAAGCTTGAAAATTAAATTCTGAGAGAACTAAAATTCAACACCTAAGATTTCTGAACCCCCCTTTGACTGCAGGAGAAGAAGGGGGTGGTTTTGGTTTTTTTTAACCCTGTGGAAGTGAGTTTAAAATAAAGTAATTTTCCACCGCCCTGAACCAGGAGCGGGCTGTCAGAATTGACGTCTTGAAGTGTATCCAGCTCGACAGATAGTTAAAAGAAGGGTAACATTTTGACTTTACTGTTGCCTCTTAGGGAATTTTGGACAAAGTGTTTTTGGAAAAAGTAAGATTGTTGCAAAAGTAAAATTTGTTCCATCTAGTGGAACTGAGTGAAATTGCAATGCAGAGAGCTTAAAAAGAAGAGCTATTCTCGTGGGAAAGAATTCTTTTCGACCTTGAAGGACAATGCTAGTACAAAGGCTTCAACAAGTGTTCCTGGAAGGTTTTGCAAAATTAAGTGCCCAGCTGGACCAGATGCGTCAGGAGTCGACCTTGATGATGGAAGTCACCAGAGCACAGCAGCAAACAAATGAAATTCAGTTAAAGTCTATACAAGTATATGAACCTGCTGTAGTGATGGAGGCTTCAGAGATGGAGGGACCATTGGATGGGCAAGATCAGCCTTTGAACTTGATAAATGAACTTGGGGCAAATCTGATGGGCCATCAGAAGATTGGAGTAGTTGAAGTCTCCAAGCTCTGTGGAAAATGGAACTGGCATTATCTGCTCTCTGGCCTGGGTAATGGGTCTGGAATGGACTTGCTGCAAAGAGTTAAAAGCATTTCTCTGCTGGAGTCTCCACGATTGAAAGGGAAACATCAACAAGAGCGGCGAAAGGGGCAAGAAAGAGACTTGAGAGCCTCGGATACGAGACAACCAGGTTAACGAGTTGGATTATTGAGGTTAAAAGGACTGACAATCTTGGGTCCTGGGGAGGGGAGGCTGGAAGTTGACTGGACTGAATTTGACTTACTATTTTTTCTTTTTTACTTCTTAATATTGGGAATGTTTATAAATGTCTGAAGGGTGTTGAATGAAATTACATGGCTTAAGTAAGGATTGGTAAATGATGTGTAAAAAGGTAATGATGTAAGAATTTGCTAAATATTGAATATTGAATTAAAGTTTTTATATGACAAGAGGGAAAATAGAATAAGGAAATGTAATGATAGATTGTTGTGGAGAAAAAAAAAAAAGACAGAAAGGATTTGCTGTGAAAATTAAAAACTAAGAAACAAGAGAGGGGAGGAGGAGGAAGTCTAGAAAGGAAGTTAATGGAGATGGTAAAGAACTACATTTCTCTATTTTTCTGTTTCTCTTTTTTTCTTTTTGCGGCTGGGTTTTCTTTTCTTTTTCTTTAATATTTTTGTATTACTTTTGTTATTTTTGTATTTTCAACTTTTTTTGGAAATTTTGTTGTTATCCTTTGAAAATTTAATAAATATCAATTTAAAAAAATAAATAAATAAAAAATGAAAAATTAGACAATCAGCTGATAGAGGTGAAGTTACAGGGAATCAGACAGAGGGCCTTCTTGGTAGTGGCACCCACCCATCAGATGTCAAGGAGATAAGTAACTAGACAACCTGAAGGCAGCCCCGTATAGGGAAGTTTTTTAATATTTAATGTTTTATTAGGTTTTTGTATATGCTGGAAGCTGCACATAGTGGCTGGAGCAGCCCAGTCAGATGAGGAGGGATTTACTATTATTATTATTATGAACGCGGGTGGCACTGTGGTCTTGGGCTTGCCGATTGTAAGGTCGGCGGTTTGAATCCCCGCGACGGTGTGAGCTCCTCTTGCTCTGTCCCAGCTCCTGCCAACCTAGCAGTTCAAAAGCACGCCAGTGCAAGTAGATAAATAGGTACCACTGCGGTGGGAAGGTAAACGATATTTCCATGTGCTCTGGTTTCTGTCACAGTGTCCCATGGTGCCAGAAGCGGTTCAGTCATTCTGGCCACATGACCCGGAAAGCTGTCTGCAGACAGATGCCAGCTCTCTCAGCCTGAAAGCGATATGAGCACAGCAACCTCATAGTCACTTTTGACTGGACTTAACCGTCCAGGGGTCCTTTAACTTTACCTTACATCATCATCATCATCATCATCATCATTATTGTAGGGTTGTGCTGTAAGACTCTTTCCATATGTAATTCTGACCTTATTTTCTTTTGCCTCCATCTGCCTCCCCAATTTCATAGTCTGTAATTTCACACTAACATTTTTCTGTTGCCACCACCCCACTGTTTGTTATCTGTTCCAGCCTTTGAAAGTCACCGGTTTTCTGATTACAGTGCAAGCAGTCTCCTCCAGTCAGTAAACCAAATGATTTGAAACCTGATTTGCTTTGGTCCCTTCCAAATATGTAACTTTCTAAAGAAATGCCATGTGCGTAGCTCTTTGACTGCCCCCAGTTAGGAAACCACTGGAGTGGACATATATATATATATATATATATTTATCTGAGGTGCATATTTTCCTGCTCTGCTTTTCAAGTCCTTTCCTGTCTGATTTTCAAAAACTGCATCTTTGGCATTTATCTTAAGACCAAGTAAATGAAATAAATGTTCCAAAGCAGCCAAAAGAAATTGGTGGCTGTCAGCTGTGCAATCTCTGCATAAGTTAAACCGTTTAATTTTAGACGGGCTGCTATTTCTTTGCGTTGTTTAGCGCTCATAATGCTCAACATAAATCAATGGGTGGCTGGTGCCCTGTTCCCTGTTTCCTCTACCAGTTTGTGACGCTGCAGAAATCTTTATAGCCTTCAGTTTGACCCGGTCCACCCTCCCTTAAGGAAATCTCCACACCTAAACACGACAGCAGCTTGCGACACAACAGCCTTATCTCTGCAACCAGCGAAGGTTTTCAGGGAAGGAAGCTGTGGTATTAGTTATTGTCACTCCAGTACCCATATAGCTGTGAGACAATGGCAGCTTTCCTGGAAACAACTATTTTCACTTTCTGCCAAGCTGAGGGAGGAATAGGACCTCTAAATACAAAGGGAATGGGTTATAAACGAAATATTATGCAGCTAAATTGGTACCATCTGCACACAAGCAGGTGGTATTTTCTGGCTTGCAGGAATCCTAAAGTTTGCAGAAATTAACCTCTCCTTTAAAAGGGGGGGTGATCATTCTGCGTGCGGAAAACAGCTCATTGAGAACTGAATGTGCTCAGTAACCATGGAGTGGTTTTATTTTGGGGGGGGCACATAGAAAATGGAGGGAGAAGTGGAATGGATTGTCCTGAAGGAGGGTGTGGTCTGACTGCCTGGAACAATGAACAAGAACACTCTTTGCGGCAACATTTTAATGCAGATCATACTTGCGATGCCCTAAAATAGCAGGCTCTTAAGAGGGATGGAAAATTCTGCAATCACCATTTCTGTAATTGCTTTATATCAAGTGGTGCTAAGAGCTGCCGTTCACCTCGGGGACTCTGAATGGGGTGGATTAAGGATCCCAGACAAAATATGAAAGGTTTTTGTGGAGACGCAGAATCTCTTAAAATAAAACAGTGCTGTCTGCCAGGGCTGGCCTGCCTGAGATGATGGGCATGATGGTACCACTTATCTCGCCATTTCCATGTACAGGATCCTATCAGGCTGGCAACTGAATCTTGCTTCATCATGGCTGCTGTGAGAGCACCCCACAACCTCCTCGCTTGAGGGCAGTAGGCTAGCTTAGAGGGCCTAAGATGAGCCCCATGGCAAAGAAGGCTCCGTCCCCCAATATCTGCACCTGCATCACTTTGCCTAATACCCACAGGGGATGGGTTCCGCCCAACTTAGGGGTGGCCCAGTGCACATAATTGACGTCATGTGGCAGGAGGAGGTCTGACAGGGCCGGCCACTGGTGGGGCCCAGTGGGGCCTGTCATAGCTGGAGGGGGCCCGGCGAGGCCTGTCATACGCCAAGGAATATTAAGGGGGCCCCATCTCTCTGCTTAAAATTTGGAGGATCCTCAGGAAGAAAAAGATCCCACCAGAGAGGGATGGCAGACCAAACTGATGGACTACGCGGAGATGGCGGAAATGACTGGGAAAATCAGAAACCAGGAAGAACAGAATTTCAATAAAGAATGGGGAGAATTTATAACTTACCTTGGAGACCACCACACACAGCTGAGCTCTTTAGCAGGATCTGAATAACACTTGTAATGTAACAAGAACTTGGGATATATGGGATATTTAAAAATTGGAGTGACTTAAAATATGCAGCGGAAAAGGACTAGCGACGGAACCCATGGAGGGGTGGGTGGGGAATCCAGAGATGTGGTTGAATCGTTGTTTATTTTTTCATAATTCATGATTTTGAATGTAAATTTTAATTTGTAAAACTAAATTACCGTATTTTTCGCACCATAGGGCGCACCGGACCATAGGGCGCACCTAGTTATGGGAGGCGGAAAACAAGAAAAAATTATTCTGAACCCCAGAAGCCTGAACAGCAAGAGGGATCTGGCTTCTGGGATGCCGTGTGGCTGTTCTGGCTTCTGGGGTAACCGCGCCAAGCCTCCTCAGGGCAGCGGGATGAAGGCTCCCCCTGCCCAAAGAGGCTGCGCAGGGCTAAAGCAGAAGCCAGGACAGACGCGTCGCTGAAGGGGCACTGCGCCTTCTCTCTCTCTGTGCAGCGCCCCTCCTTCACAGAAGAGGCGCTGCGCAGAGAGGGAGAAGGCGCAGCGCCCCTTCAGCGAAGCTGGAGAAGGAACAGAAGAAGACCCTTCTGTTCCTCCTCCGGCTTCGCTTGATAGGCGCGTTGCTCAAGGGGCGCTGCATCTTCTCTCTCTCTGCGCAGCGCCTCTCCTTCACAGGAGAGGTGCTGCGCAGAGAGGGAGAAGGCGCAGCGCCCCTTCAGCGAAGCTGGAGAAGGAACAGAAGGAGACCCTTCTGTTCCTCCTCCGGCTTCCAGGACAGGCGCGTCGCCGCGAAGCCAAGGAACCTGCATTCGCTCCATAGGACGCACACACATTTCCCCTTCATTTTTGGAGGGGAAAAAGTGTGTCCTATAGAGTGAAAAATACGGTATACACACACACACACAGTGGTACCTCGGGTTACATACGCTTCAGGTTACATACACTTCAGGTTACAGACTCCACTAACCCAGAAATCGTGCTTCAGGTTAAGAAATTTGCTTCAGGATGGGAACAGAAATCGTGCTCTGGTGGCACAGCAGCAGCAGGAGGCCCCATTAGCTAAAATGGTGCTTCAGGTTAAGAACAGTTTCAGGTTAAGTACGGACCTTCAGAACGAATTAAGTATTTAACCCGAGGTACCATTCTACACACACACACACACACAAACAAACAATTGGGGGATCCTCGGCCCTCTGGACCCCATAGATGGCGCCCCCGCTAATAGCAGAGCCAACCCTACAGCCAAGCTCCTGCAGCCAATCGGAAGCCACAGAAGCCCTGTCAGATGTTCAGGTTCCAAAAATAGTTCACAAACCGGAGCACTCACTTCCTCGTTTTTGATGTTCAGGAGCCAAAATGTTCGGGAACTAAGCTGTTCAACTTCCAAGGTACGACTACACACACACACAACACCATACAACACAACACATATAGACACTGAAAAAACAGGCAAGTAACAAAGGAGGGAAAGTAATAGCTCTTTTTAATACAGATCTTTTTCATATTTCTCTAGTATATTATATTTCTTTAATAAGCATTTACATGGTGGTCAGCCTTTCATAACAGATTCTCTTCTCTCCAGAAAATAGCTGTTCAAAGAAAAGGGCCGTGAAACTATTACTCTGTGCACATTAAGAGCATACAGAGCATATTAACACTTTTATCACTGATGGTTTCTATTTTCCAGTAATGTTCCTCTGCTTCTTTGCTGCACTCCATGGACTGTAAATGTCATCTTAAGTTGACATTTTAACTATAGGGTGCTGGCCGCTCTTTCTCTGGGCCCTGAAAGCTTCCTATTTTTTATTATGTCTCCCAAATTGCTGCTAGTGACTTGGAGTGATGTAGGAGGAGTTCTTTCCTGAAACACAGTATTTAACTTGCACCGTGAATATGCTTAATCGCTGCTCAGGTGAATATGCATTTTAACTGCGAATGCTAACAACTATTTATCAGTGCAACTCCTCAGAATAATTTGCATCTTAAAATAACTCATGAGATTATTATTTTTAAAGTATTTTTCAGCCAGGAACAAAATATCTATAAGCTGCACATATTTTTTGCATTGTTTCCCATTTTTATATATCGTGGTCATAAGCCTGATACGAATACTAGATAGATGAGTGTACTTCTAATAAATTATCAATTGCATGGTAACCTATAGCTTGTCTTTGCTGCCAAGTGGGAGATCTGATTCCATTCCTATTCTATTAGGTCCAACAGGAGGGGGCTTTATTAATGAGGCAATGTGCTCTCCAGCTCAGGCGAGGAAGAGATTTCAGATTTTCGTTGTGTATCAGCAGGGGCTCAATTTAATAGGGAACATGCATAACAGTTGGAACACAAAGCTGGCAATATAATAAGAGGACGCAGTGTGTATACAGAGGACTTGTACACTGTAGTGCTAAACATATATAATGGGAACAAGTTCCATAGGAAACTATGCGACACGTGGCCCGAGCATGTGGCCTATGCGCTGGAGGAAGCTGCAAGCTCACACACTTCCCCCACTGAATGGCTGCATAGCTCAGTGGTAGAGCATCTTCCTTACGTGCAGAAAAGGCCCAGATTCAATGCCTAACATTTCGTGGTAGGGCTGGGCGGTGGCGTAGCATGGATTACCAGTGCCCAGGGCTGCACAGAAGCAGGGTAGGAAGGAAATGGATGGAGTATGCATGCACACGCAACTGCCTAAGGTGTCCACATCACCCAGGAGATCACAGGTGCAGGGTTAAGAAAAGAAGAATCGTATTGTCTGGAGAGGTCATTCCTGGTTCTCATTGAGAAGTTGGTTTCAGTGGAGCCCAGAGACGGAAGCATGTAGCTGTATTGAGACAGCGCCAGGTGTTGAAATTTTGTGCCCGGGGCAACCGCCCCTGTGGCCCCCTTCCCCACGCCACACCACTGGGGCTGGGATTTTCCCTTGGCTGAAATCCTGGAGAACCATTACTAGTGCGCAGACCATTATGAGCTAGATGGACCTGTTGCCCGACTCCGTGTATGACAACTTCCTGCGTTCCACTGCACATGGAAGTTTTAGTTCATAGTAGGGCAACCGGCATGATTCGTCCATGAAAAGTGGGGCACAGATGTTGTTAGGCCCAAGCGTAAAGGCTGTGGTTGACATTAAAGGTTCTGTACATAATGGGAGATGGTACGAGCCTCAGCCTTACTCTCGCCTGGCTCTCTGTCCAGTCTAGAGGCCGCCCTACAGGCAAACCAACCCTCGCATTCAAGTACAGTCATACCTTGGTTGTCGAATGGAATCCATTCCGGGAGTTGGTTCGACTTCCTAAAATATTTGACAACCAAGGTGCAGCTTCCGATTGGCTGCAGGAGCTTCCTGCACTCAATCAGAAGCCGCATCGGACGTTCGGCTTCCAAAGAACGTTCCCAAACCAGAACGCTCACTTCCGGGTTTGTGGCCTTCGGGAGCCAAAACATTCAAGTCACAAGGCGTTCAAGATCCAAAGTACAACTGTGTCTTTAGGTGTTCTGTAAGGCACTGTTGAGCAGAGTATGGAATGACTTGCCTTGATATAGTATAGGGGTCCTCACTATTGAGATTGAGAGGCAGTTCTGATCTGCTTGCCAGCTGAACCCCTAATGGGTCAACATAGTTGCCCCAAAGTCATAGAATCATAGTTGAAAGGGATCCCATGGATCATCCAAGGGTAGGCAAACTAAGGCCCGGGGGCCGGATCCAGCCCAATCGCCTTCTAAATCCAGTCCACGGACGGTCCAGGAATCAGCGTGTTTTTTACATGAGTAGAACGTGTCCTTTTATTTAAAATGCATCTCTGGGTTATTTGTGGGGCATAGGAATTCGTTCATTTCCCCCCCAAAAAATATAGTCCGGCCCGCCACAAGGTCTGAGGGACAGTGGACTGGCCCCCTGCTGAAAAAGTTTGCTGACCCCTGATATTTTAGTCTAGCCCCCTGCAATGCAGGAATATATCCCCATACAGGGCTCAAACCTATGACTTTGACGTTATCAGCACCACGATCTCACCGACTGATCTCACCGGCAAGGCTCGGTACAACTAACCTCCTGGGATGCTATATAGATGTTTTCAAGCCCTATCTCAATTTCTGTCCGGCTGCATGCCGAGTTTTGATATTTCAGTGTGCTTCATTAGGTCCTGTTGCTTAAAAGTATTGACACTAGATCATTGTTCTTAGATTCACTCACAATGGCCCAGCAGGTGACCCCAAACTACACAGTGATCGTTATGGGCGAATCTAATTGTTCCTTTGCTCGGACAAACACTCATAACATTCGACTGTAATATTCCCTGAGCACTTTGGTTTCAAATGTTGTATGGTGCTTATTTTTAGCCCATTAAAAACTCTTCGGCAGGAAAGACATGAGTGCAGCTCCGATAATCCACGCTGCCTAATCGCACACACGGCCAAATAATCACAGAAAGTAGCTAGCCAAACTTTAAGTTTGGTAGCGACCTCAGGCTGCTAGCTTCCAAAATATGCTGGCTTTTCTGTTTCCAATAGTCCATTTGCTGCCTTGCAGTGCTTTTGGCTGCCACAACTGAGTACTAGCCAAAGAGAAGCATTCTGTGTGCCAGTTGGATCACAAGAGGATAGCTGAATCCATGGGTGCTTGATTAAACTTTGCCACCCAGTGGCACCCATTTAATTTTGGCTTTGAGATACCCACAGATAAGTTGAGGCCAAATGAATTGCTCAGGACATTTCTGAGTTTCGTAATGGCAGTGCCTAGAGGAATGGTTATCATAGCAGACCCTCCAAGTGTCCCTATTTTCCAGGGATGTCCCTAATTTAGAGAAGCCATCCCGGTTTCCAGTTTGATCCTGGAATGTCCTGCTTTTTCTTAGGATGTCCCTATTTTCATCGGAGAAATGTTGGAGGGTATGGTAGAGAAAACCAATAGTTGTTAATAGCTGTATTTCAGGTGTGGTTATTTATGGTATTTGGGTACCATGCCATTAAAAGGTGTGTTTTTTTAAGTTACATTGTCCCTAACACAGACCTTCCAAGGGTCCCTTTTTTCCAGGGACAGACCCAGACTTTTAGAAGCCACCCTGGTTTCTGATTTGATCCCGGAATGTCCCACTTTTTCATTGGAGAAATGTTGGAGGGTGTGGAGTCATGCGACCCCTGAGCCTAGGAGATAAGTAACTAGACAACCTGTAGAAGTAGTAGTAGTAATTTTTTGTTTATACCTTGCCCATCTGGCTGGACATCCCCAGCCACTCCCCAGCGGCTCCCAACAGAATATTAAAAATACGGTAAAACATCAAACATTAAAAACTTCCCTTAACAGAGTTGCCTGTTGGAAGCCACCCAGATTAGATGGGCAGGATTTAAATAATAAAATCACCATCACCATCATTGTTATGGAATAGGTTGTCCCTACACTGGTACCCCAGTATTGATGTATGGAAGTGAGAGCAGGACCATAAAGAAGGCTGATCGCTGAAGAATTGATGCTTTTGAATTATGGTGCTGGAGTAGACTCTTGAGACTGCAAGAAGATCCAACCTATCCATTCTTAAGGAAATCAGCCCTGAGTGCTCACTGGAAGGAAAGATCCTGAAGCTGAGGCTCCAATGCTTTGGCCACCTCATGAGAAGAGAAGACTCCCTGGAAAAGACCCTGATGTTGGAAAAGATGGAGGGCACAAGGAGAAGGGGAAGACAGAGGATGAGATGGTTGGACAGTGTTCTTGAAGCTACCAGCATGAGTTTGACCAAACTGTGGGAGGCAGTGGAAGACAGGAGTGCCCGGCGTGCTCTGGTCCATGGGGTCACGAAGAATCGGACATGACTAAACGACTAAACAACAACAGTGGTACCTCTGGATATGAACCACCCCCTTTGTGAATGCTTCAGGCTATGCACGTGGCAAACACGGAAGTAAAGTAAAGGTTTCCACCGACAGCTCCTGCGCTGGAGCGGGCTACCGCTACCCACGCCTGTGCAGAACAGTGCACCTCTGGATGTGAATGTTTCAGGGTAAGAACGGACCCCCAGAACGAATTAAGTTCGTATCCAGAGGTACCACTGTATTTTCAGCGGATAAATGTTGGAGGGTATGCCAACACCAAGTGATGCATATATCAAAAGCTGCCCTCTGAGTGATCAATGCACTACTGCAGCCCATTGAACTTAAGAGTTTAGTGGAAGTAACTATTTTAGGAACAGAGACCCATACATTTGCAGAGAAGCTCTTTTCCGTCATCCTTAAATAAGATCCTGTCTCCCATAGAGACTGCTGTTTATCCATTTGAATGAATCTCATCATTGTTTCCATGATCAACACACAAACCTCGTCTCTGTTCTGCACAGGAAAGCTTTTGAATCCAAGATTCTGGGGTGCGTGTTTTCTTTAAGCATTGAAGGGGCAAATCCTTCCTTGGCTCATTGAGCCTCGCCTCAGCAAGATTGCACAGAATTACGTCTCCCTAGAATGGCTGATAGTTCGCAGAAATACTGCACAGTGTTTCAGAAAACTCAAAGGGGAATTTAGAAATGGTTAGGTTCACATTTTGGGTTTGTGAACTATTTCTCTAACACTTGAGCAAGTTGCAGCTGCTGCCCAGAGAGCTTGCTGGCGAAACGCGAGGCTGAGCTGTCCTGGCTGCTGCTGAAATTTCAGTAGCTGACATCACTTGGAGAGTGCCTGAAGGCAAGAACCCGTTGTAAACAAGCTGTCAGGCTTAACTAGGATATCCTGTGAAAATGTCTTAAACAAACGAGCAGCCACTTGGAGCCTGGCTCAACAAAGCAGCTATTCCTGGAGAAGCCTTGCTTGAGCTTGCATGGCGATCTTAAGAGAAAATCCTGCTTTTTCAAGAGGCGCCACTAGGTTTTTCCAGCCAGAATTTTACATCCTAAATTGTACCCAGGTGGTTGTTCACCGCCCTACAAAAAGATATCAGTATGATGGCGAACATGGAAGCCCAATGGCCACTGTGAACTAGGCAGCTGCAAACACTTAATATTTTTTTAAACCCAACCCGAATCACTTTTCTTTGGCTTAAAATGGGGGATCATTTTCAACTGAGTGCTACATTGCCTGTTGGCGCACCACCTGGGGGTTTCATGACAGTGGTGACCACTGACCACTGACAGCAGTGGGCACAAGTGACACCACCTAGCTATATTCAAGCATTCATTTCTCTTAGGTTCCTTCCCCACACATCTGGCAAGATCTGCCCACTCCAGCCTGTCAGTCTCCTTTTTAACAGTTGACCATCATTTTTACGAAGTGGGAAGTCTTCTACTTCTGGAGGGTCCCCCTGTTATTTAGAAGTCTTACATCATATCAGGGGATATAGCTCCCCCCCCCCCCGGCATCTAATAATCAGCAATTTTGATGCTGCTAGCAAATTAAAATTTGTTTCTCATCAGAGGGGATTTTTTTTCTAGTGGCAATCCACAATATGGATTGAATGTACTTCCTTTTCTTAATACGCATTTATTGGTTGTGTTATGTGGAACTGGGAGTGGAAAGCTAATGTACTAAGTCCTACTGCAATGCGCTCTACGTGGGGCTACCTTTGAAGCTGACCCGGAAACAACAATTAATCCAGAATGCGGCAGCTAGACTGGTGACTGGGAGTGGCCACCGAGACCATATTAGACCAGTCCTGAAAGACCTACATTGGCTCCCAGTACAGTTCCGAGCACAATTCAAAGTGTTGGTGCTGAGCTTTAAAGCCCTAAATGGCCTCGGCTCAGTATACCTGAAGGAGCGTCTCCACCCCCATTGTTCTGTCCGGACGCTGAGGTCCAGCTCCGAGGGCCTTCTGGCAGTTCACTCACTGTGAGAAGTGAGGTTACAAGCAACCAGGCAGAGGGCCTTCTCAGCAGTGGCGCCCATCCCATCAGATGTCAAGGAAATAAACAACTATCTAACTTTTAGAAGACATCTGAAGGCAGCCCTGTTTAGGGAAGTTTTTAATGTTTGATGTTTTATCGCTTTATTATTATTAATAATAATATTCTGTTGGGAGCTGCCCTGAGTGGCTGGGGAAACCCAGCCAAATGGGCAGGGTATAAATTTTTTGTTGTTGTTAAATTAAATAATTTAAAATACATGGACATAGAACAAGAACAAGTTGTGCTAAGTTGTGCTATTAAATCCTGCCAGAATTTTGGCTGAGCTGGGATTGGAACAGACTTAGAGAAGGGGTGGGAAATATTGTAGGACTGCAAATCTCATCATCCCTGACTATTGTCCATGCTGGTTGCAGCTGATGAGAGCTAGAGCCCAGTATCACCTGGAGAGCCAAATCTCCCATCCCTGACATAGAGCATAGAACCAGCCTTTGATTGGTGGTGCCATCACTGGGGGCTGTCCAATAGGCATTGACCCATGGCAGAGCCTATTGGGTGGTAGGTCCCCATTTGTGAAAGCCCACCTTAATGAAGTCCATCTGTCTTCCTTACTGACTTCCAGACATTTGATGGCTGAAAGGTACTGGGTGAAATTCAGTGTCTCTCTGAGACAATCATCCCATCAGTGCAAGCATTTTAGCTTGCCAGATGCAAAGAACTCCCCTCTCTTCCCCCAACACCCCCAAGGCATTTGGGTGGGGGAATACAGGGAGGGAAGCCCTGTTGTGCAAGCAGAAGTCTTTGCTCAGGGCTTCAACTCACAGGATTTGCTGAGTGAATCTCGCCCATCGTTCCTGGCACCACTGAAATCACTGGTTGAGAAAATGTATTTAACCGTTTTTTAGAATGCTATCAACAGTGTTTTCAGTATTGATGTGTTTGTGGCCCTGGGCTTCTTTGGGAGGAGGAGGGGCAGGAAATAAGTTAATGAAATAATCATACCTCCCTACTGTGAGCTTATACATTGCACAGCTGGGTAGCTCTTTATAATCTTGCAAGAGCCTCAGAACTTCTTCTCGATGGCTGGACCTCAACCTTCTTCTGTAACGTTTAATAGGTCTGGTTCTGTTATGAGTGCGCACCTGGACTCACATGGACGTTCATATACACAACTGCTAAGAGGTTTGGGATCTTTAGCTGGTGTTATGGCATACGCTTGTTATGGACGTGTGTTAACTTTATGCCCACAGGATGCTCTCACAAAGAAATAAAGGACATTTGGTTTATTAGATGAAATGGGAGTGACAGAATCTATAAAGATGCTGCTTTAGACAGCAAACTTAAATTCTAAGCAGTTTAGCAAATTATGATACATACACACCTTGATTAAAGAGTAGAAGATTCTCTAACTGTTCTGAAAGGCTTACAAAAACGTGGGCATAAACTTGAATTGAAGAGGGGGTGGGGGAAGTTTACCTACCCTTTAAGTAAAGCAGAAATATGCTGAGTCCTGAGGAGCACTGGGGTAAGTGCTGTCCAACTAACCTCGTGGTGCTGTGGTCTAAACCAGTGAGCCTCTTGGGCTTGTTAATCAGAAGGTTGGTGGTTCAAATCCCTGCAATGGAGTGAGCTCCCGTTGCTCTGTACCAGCTCCTGCCAACCTAGCAGTTCGAAAGCACACCAGTGCAAGTAGATAAATAGGTACTGCTGTGGTGGGAAGGTAAACAGTGTTTCCGTGCGCTCTGGTTTTTGTCACGGTGTTCTGTTGCACCAGAAGCGGTTTAGTCATGCTGGCCACATGACCCGGAAAGCTGTCTGTGGACAAATGTCGGCTCCCTCAGCCTGAAAGCGAGATGAGCGCCGCAACCCCATAGTCGCCTAACCATCCAGGGGTCCTTTACCGTTTCACCTTTACCTGTATATAATGGTTTTTTGTATACCTTTTTGCCAAGGTATGCCAGTTGAGAGGGGAGGGGCTGTAGAATGTGTCCAACAATTTGCACAATCCCTTCCAGACTTTGCTGTCTAGTTCTCACCTTACCCATCTTTGGCCATCATGTTCCTGATTGCTTAACAAAAGAGCAAAAGACTTCAATAGTATCTGCACCTGCCCATCTCTGTCGGTGATCTGCCTTTACATCACCTTACCATTGTGGGGATGGATCTCACTGAGGAGTTTAGTATCATGTACAGTCGTATCTTGGTTTTTGAACAGCTCAGTTCTCGAACGTTTTGGTTCTCAAACGCTGCAAACCCGGAAGTGAGTTTTCCGATTTGCAAACTATTTTTGGAAGTCGAACTCCCAATGGGGCTTTTGCGGCTTCCGATTGGCTGCAGGAGCTTCCTGCAGCCAATCAGAAGCCACACTTTGGTTTCCAAACGTTTTGGAAGTCAAACGGACTTCTGGAATGGATTCTGTTTGACTTCCAAGGTACGACTGTACTTGAAAACTAAATTTGCATGTGTTTGTCTTCTGGTCATTTATGGGTCAACTCAGGACATGCCCAAATGTCTTTCAGCAGGGGGCTGGAATCTGGCTTCTTCCAGGATCACCAAAGCTCATCATGGAGGGTCTTATGTCATATTTGAGTTAATCTTATACTTATGCCATGATCTATAGAGATAAGCCATATCATAAATTCAGATTAATGCTGGACCTTGAAATGCTATAGCTGAGTGAAGATGCACTATATGAAATGCAATTATTATTATTATTTTTGCTCTCCATGTTTCCCTCTTCTCATCTCAAATATGCCCTTTCCCCTTGTTCTTCCTGCAGGTATCCTTTAGGTACCACTGTAGATTATATAATGAATGGCGTCGGACCAATCAAAGAGTTATCCTCCTCATCCCAAAGTCTGTCAGCATCCCTTCAAACCAGCAGTCATTGCTGGGCCTGCATTCGGTCAAAAGGAACTCAAAAGAGACAATCGTTTAATTGTGATAATCATGAGCTGGGGCCATGAACTACATGCGGGGGTCTAATTCCATCCAAACCTGATAGTGGTTATTATGAAAAGACAAGACTCTTTATGACGAAGAGAGGACACGACTGTTGGAATTGAAATCATGGATGCTGCAATCATATGATATTTGCTGAGCTGCCAAACCTGCTTAAACTTTAGCAGATACTGTATGAAATTCCTCAATCCCATGTTGATATAGCTGCATCGCTAGGGATGCAACCCTTTTTTATTGTTGTTTAAAGATTATTAAACTATGATGGCAAACAATGCAAAACACGTCTGTGGCGGTATTTCTTTAAGTGGTTTGACAGGTTTCCTGCCGCATTCCTCCTCTCCCACCCACATTAAACGAGAAGAATAGGAGGATGTTGTGCTGCAATTGAACTTTAATAAGTGAAATGCCATTTGAAAAGAGAGAGAAGTATTGGTTTGACTCACACAGCACATTGGTCTCATAAGAGACTTAAGATTTTCCGCTCAAGCCTCACAAAGACTTGCCAAATGTGCAAAAGAAAGTCTATTTACTGATCACCCTTTATTTGGTTAGCATACATACATGCACACCATGGGAACAAGAGCTTCCCAATCAATGGCAGATGAAATTCTGCTCCTGCGTGCCTTTCCCCCGCTAATGGGGAAGAAGGTAGCTGCTGCTCAAGTATGGGGCTATAACTCCCACCATCTCTGACCACTGACCATGTTAGCTGCAGCTAATGAAAGCTGGGAGTCCAGCATCTGCCCTCCCCTGCTTTAAAATGCTTAAAACCTGCAAATTAGGTAGCGATTAGCATAATCTGCCAAATGTTGGGTGGTCTGCTCCACTCATGTGCTCCATGCAAGGTTAAAATATTTTGATTGGTTATTTTAAAATTATCATCTTAAGAGCAGAGAAAAACAAGGAAGAAAACACTTATTTTGGCCATGCTAAGGATAATGGACAGGACGCGGGTGGCGCTGTGGTCTAAACCACTGAGTCTCTCGGGCTTGCAGATGAGAAGGTCGGCAGTTTGAATCCCCATGATGGGGTGAGCTCCCGTTGCTCAGTCCCAGCTCCTGCCAACCTAGCCGTTTGAAAGCACCCCAAAAAGTGCAAGTAGATAAATAGGTACCGCTCTGGCGGGAGGGGCATTTTCGTGCGCTGCTCTGGTGTTGGTGTTCCGTTGTGCCAGAGGCAGCTTAGTCATGCTGGCCACATGACCTGGAAAAACTGTCTGCAGAGCGGACAAATGTCGGCTCCCTCGGCCTGTAAAGCGAGATGAGTGCTGCAGCCTCAGTGTCGTTCACAACTGGACTTAACTGTCAGGGTCCTTCACCTTTAAAGATAGTGGACTGGTTACTAACAATAGTCTTGTACACGTTTAGTCAGAAATAAGTCCAGTTGAGTTCAGCGAGACTTCTTTTCAGGAAAGTAGGAATAGGATTATAGCTAACCATGAATGCTGAGTTTGCAGAGGAGAATAGGCAATGTATAGTACAGGCTTTGCTAGCCTTGGCCCCTGAAGAAGCTTGAGCTACAGTTCCCACATCACCCAGCAAAGTTAGCTGGGGCTGACAGTTGTACAGTGGTACCTCAGGTTAAGAACTTAATTCGTTCTGGAGGTCCGTTCTTAACCCGAAACTGTTCTTAACCTGAGGTACCACTTCAGCTAACGGGGCCTCCCACTGCCGCTGGGCGATTTCTCTTCTCATCCTGAAGCAAAGTTCTTAACCCGAGGTACTATTTCTGGCTTAGCAGAGTCTGTAACCTGAAGTGTCTGTAACCCGAGGTAAAACTGTAGTCTGAAACATCCGATATTGTATCTGACCAGATGAAATTTCCTTGAGGGATAGACAGGAGATTCTGCATGTTTTTCCTATCGATCCCCTCCTTCTGGGATTCATAGCAGAACATCCTGGGGCATTACTCTTGAAGGCCAGAGTAATGTTGTAGCTTCATACCTCACATATCAAACATATCAGTGCCGTAAATACTGGTGTAAATCTTGAGTGAGCCACGTTACATCAGAACAGAGTTTTGCCCTAGTTCTCCAGATTTATTTTGTAAGAGGAGCTTCTGCATACATAAAGGACTGCCTCATTAGACATGTTCTAGGAAGTCTGGGCCTGAGTTGCATAACAATCAAGTAAAGCTACAATTCTCTGCTGGATTTTCCGCTTGACAGGTAAATTTAGATGAGAGTATATAAGACTACTTCTTCGTACCAGTGAGACTTCAGGTCTATTTGTGAACAAATGTTTACAGCAAGCTTTGTAATTGTGGCCAATTCCAATTTGGAATTCTTTTTTTAAAATTCCTGGGTTGTGGTACGCCTTGCTTACAACTGCCCCTTCCTAAAGAGAAAAAAAGAATTGTTTTATTCGTCCCCTTATCCATTTTAGAGTTAAGCTATCAAATGGACTTGCTTGTACCAACAATTACCGCTGGCAAGGCGGTGACATGTAGCTTATGTGCAATTTATTATCTTTTTCTAAGTCATGGCAAATATATAGGGGGCAAGCCCCGCATTTGGCTTGTATTTCCTGTGCAGTTGTGGGGGGTCAAATGGGAGGGGATATGTAAAAAATATGGCTTATATTTCAGATGGAATAAGCAACTGTTATTTGGCAAAACAAAAAACCCCACGTAATTAAACTTAGAAGTTTGACCACCTGACTTTTTGAACAAATGAATGTATTCTTATATAATCTTGAATACATTCAAAACAAGAGCACGGGTGCCCTTTAGATACTGCAGAATTCTTCGAAATGACAATCCAGTAAAAGCTACGATATTAGGACAACTTCAGTATTTCATTTCTTATTTCAGCAGTGCACCAGAGCCTGAGGTCCTTCACTCAAAACCCTAATTAAAATGGCCCCCCACTGCCTAATCTATACCTGCTTGGTATGTGAGCAACGAGTGCCAAAGTCCTGAGGCTTATTCAAAGGATTAGCTCTGCAGCTTCATCATAGCACCTATGTGACTTAAGACTCCAGAGCCAAGGATTTATGCCTGCTCAGGCTTTTGGCACTGGAAGGCCTACTTACGCCTTATGCAGGGGTTTCTTACCCCTTCCCAGAACACTGGCAGGTGCCTAAGGGGGGCTTTCATGACGGAGAAGCACATAGATTGGCCCGCTGATTAGATTGTATACCTGAAGGAGCATCTGCACCTCATTGTTCAGCCTGGACAAGTGAAGTTATAGGGAACCAGGCATAGGGCCTTCTCGGTAGTGGCACCCGCCCTGTGGAACACCCTGCCAGCAGATGTCAAGGTGTAACTATACAACCTTTAGAAGACATCTGAAGGCAGCCCTGTATTGGGAAGTTTTTTATGTTTGAAAGTCGCCCAGACTACTACCACTAATAATAAATAATATGCAGCAACAAACCTAAGTTCATTAAGCCCTGGTAGGCTCTCATATTCAGAGGATGAGTTGTGTTCAGGATCACCATGTATCCTAGTCTTCAAAGGAGTCTCTGTTTTGAAGGATCCAAGTGTTGATGAGGAACTATAAGGGAGAACTGAAGATGCCCATGAAACATTTAACACATGCATAACAGACTGAGCAGAGACAGAAGCCACCTGGTGCCAGTCTTCCCCACTATGGCAAAATGTAGTGTATTTTTACTTATAGTGGATTGGCACCTATAAATTAGCAGGCGCAAATTTTATGCAATTTTATTCTCCTTTTGAGAATGTGTGAAGTGGTCCTCTGGGTGTGTTTGGCCTAGTGAACCATAAATAGTGCAATGAACAAACTAGAAAGGAGTAAAATGCCTCGTTCCAGTTTGTCGGTGCACAGGGAAGACTCAAAAAGCCTGTCCATTTTCTTAGGACAGGAACATAAACTTCAAATGCAAGTGTTGACTTGTCAATCAACTTGTACCTGGGTAGAGAAGGCTCTCAGGGTTATACAATTTGAGAAACAACTCTCTATTGTTTAGTTAACGCAACTGAGAATCATTTGCAAGGCATTTTTCAGGTTTTGCTGTTTCCTCATCTACCCAACTCAGGCGCAAAAATATGAGATGGGGCAGCAAAGGGGAGAAGCATAAGGAAAGGATTTCCATCACTCCTTAGCAGCTGCCTGCAGCTCCCTAGGGACAGCAGCCTTGCAATGTGAGAATTCCGATATCAGCATTTTAGACATGTGATAAATCCATTTTTAACTTTCAGAATCCGAAAGGCTGATCTTAGTAGATACCAAAATCTTCACACTTTACAGTTTAATTGTAAGAGTACATTCAATAGGGAAAGCAAAGAGAAATATTTCTGTGTGGTTTTTATCCTAGAATAAAGCTGATCTAAGAAGTAGGTTTTACATTATTGCTTAGCTCAGCAGAAGGCAGAAAGAAGTGCTTCCCAAGCAGCAACGGTGTCACCAAGAGACAAAAAAAAAGTTATAGGGTACCTTGCCATCTAACCAAGAGAAAATATTTAGCATTGGTAGCAAAGTTCTGATGCAAAATTGGATGAGGGAGTTTGTGATACTGTTGTAACATTTCGATCAATGTGCAATCAGAAATTTAGTTTAATGGAAGTTCTAATACATACATTTGACGAGCAAGACAGTGAGACTTATTTCAAAGTATAGCTGCTTTTGACTGTACCCTGAGTGCTTTCACGGAGAACACAGAGAGGTTCAACAAGAAAGCTTTTTCACTACCCGCCTGGTAAATAACCAGTTTTATGGTCCAGGAAAGCTAAGGGGATGACCAACATTATGTTAAGAGATGAACCCAGGGAGAAAGCAGAACCAAGCTCTCAACTTGGGATATTGGTTTATGCATGAAGTTGCATTCTGTGAAGGATCATTATTCAAGATGTAACAAACAGTAATCCAGTAACAGGTAGGTAGCTGTGTTGGTCTGCTGTAGTCGAAACAAAATAAAAAATTCCTTCCAGAAGCATCTTAGAGACCAACTAAGTTTGTTACTGGTATGAACTTTCGTGTGCATGCACACTTCTTCAGATACACTGAAACAGAAG